GTCTGTTATACCTGGCTATATAACTACATATGTACTGGGACAATGTCTGGTATACCTGGCTATATAACTACACAGGTACCAGGGCAATGTCTGGTATAACTGGCTACATTACTACACAGGTACCAGGGCAAAGTCTGGTATACCTGGCTATATAACTACACAGGTACCAGCTTAATGTCTGGTATAACTGGCTATATTACTACACAGGTACCAGGGCAAAGTCTGGTATACCTGGATATATAACTACACAGGTAATGGGGCAATGCTTGAATACCTGACTGATTGGTGCTAGTAGAATTAAAAAGTAACTCTGTCGGTGTGGATCCCTGACCAGATTGATGCAAGTAGAACTCAGGAGTAACCCAGTAGGTGTATGGAAAACAACAATAATTAATGACATTGAGGCAGTTTTATTTTGATATTTTCAACTTTTACATCAACAAAAAGGAACATTGGAAAAATGAGTAAGAGCAGGTGTTTCTGAACTTTATCATATCCCTTTTCAGGTCCAACATAGTTCAGCACCCTATTAGAAGGTATATGTTTCTTAGGTGACTCACAGTGCTAATTGATGTCTAAGAAAATCAATTTTGGTGTCCTTTTGTTCTAATCTGGTGCAAACTGTAATATACATAATGATGTCTGAAGAGGGTGTTAATGCTGAGCAGTCTGTAGCTACAGTGGTTTCCTTGTTAAGACTTATACATATAAGATATATACTATTTAAACTAATCATCAGGGATTAAGGTCAGAAATTCATGATGAAGTTCTTTGTCCCATAGTTGTTGCTCACCATAATACAGTTTTTTGTTAGCTTTAAGGAACATCCAGCTTATTTCATGTATACAGCCTTATAGGCAGTAATGATGTGAGACTAGGGTTTACTGTGTGTTTAGATGAGGTGGAAGGTGAGACACAGAATTAGAGGGTCATTTTTGTTTCGATAAAAAAGTTCTGGAGGAGCTGGCTGCTCTCTTCTGGTATTAGTAGTGCTAGAGGATGCTGCTTTTCTGGCCAGCAGTAGGAAAGTTCATCTGATTATTTTCATGTAACGTGAAGGCTGTTTATGCCAAGCTTGATATTTCAAAGAAAGGCAGATAATTAGTACAAGATAACATTTATGAAAGGAAATCAGCTGTTGAGAGTTTATCTGTGGGTCCACTTTTATGGCTTTGCTTTACAGAACACATCCAGATGCAATCTCCTTTGTTTTAATATCACAGTGATGAAGTGCATATGCACACGAGGAGATTTGTAAATTAAGACAATTACAATCTTTCTGAAGAAAAAAGAAGAAAGTTTGTTCAAGAAAGATAACATGATTGGAAACAGTCTACACCTACTGATCAATACCTGATCTGATGTTGGGCTAACACAATTTATATTATAGACAAGAGGATGTAAGGTCATAACACCAAGCAAGGTTACACTTTAATCTGTATGATGTATGTGTGATCACAACTCCAGTAACATACATATACACCACGTTGACTACCAATACTTGAGTTAAGGACAAATCACTAATACTCAAGGTAACAGCTGTCCACCAATACTCAAGGTAACAGCTGTCCACCAATACTCAAGGTAACAGCTGTCCACCTATACTCAAAATAAAGACTGACCACCAGCCAATACTCAAATTAAAAGCTGTCCACTAATATTCAAGTAAAAGTCTCACCACCAATATTTAAATCAAAGACTCATCACCAATACTCAACTTAAAAGTTGTCCACCAATACTCTTCTCAAAGACTGATCGCCAATAATCAAGTGAAGTCTGACTGCCATTACTCGAGTAGATACTGACTACGAATATTCAAGTTAAAAACTTACTGGCTGACCACTAATGCTAGTGTTTAAGACTGACCATAAATACTTGAGTTAAAGGTTGACCACCAATATTTAAGTTAAAGACTAACATTCACTATTCCTATCCCAATATGTATGGTAAATTTTCATATCAAAACTCATTAGACCTGCAGAAATGCAGTTTGGAAGTGACCTGACATTTAGAAATGACAAAGCTGTAAGGATACATATATTGTCTGTACCAGTTACCCATGTGATATGGCAAATTTCTCTGTAGGTTCCAGACTGGTGCAGTAGAGGTGGCATCATTCTGTCTGTTTAAGTCAGTACATAGAGGAGTTCCCAGGCTCTAACCCCTAGAACAGTAACATACTGAGTAACCTTACTGTCTATATGGACTGTAGTGTTGCTCTAAATCAGTTCTGTTGGGGAGTTATTCCTTGTGACATTGATTAACCCCAATGTCCTGGTACTTTCTTAGTACCACTTAGTAGGAACAACATAATATAAGGGCAGTTCCAGTGTTACTGTTAAGAAAACTCACAATCTATGGGTTTCTTGAGTGTTACAATAAGAAAACTCACAATCTATGGGTTTCATGAGTGTTGCACTAAGAAAACACACAATCTGTGGGTTTCATGAGTGTTACACTAAGAAAACTCACAATCTATAAGCTTCCTGAGTGTTGCAATAAATAAATTCATAATCTATGGGTTTCATGAGTGTTGCACTAAGAAAACTCACAATCTAAGGGCTGCTTGAAGATTACCTTAAGAATGCTCTTTTTCTAGGCTTGAGGGTTGCACCAAGAAAATTTACATAATGACTTTGCTGCTTTAAAGTTACTCTAAGAAAGCTCACCATCATGGGATTCTTGTGTGTTACACTTTAATAAAACTCACAATCTATGAGTCATGTTAATGTTGCATTACAATTAATTTACTAGTCAAACTGAAAAATTCTCTCATAGATGGGCTGTGACTTTAAATCTCCTTGTGACATCTCATTATGCATTATATCATAGTCAGATTATCTATGTAAATTAAATTAGAAATATAAAAGTAGAAATAAGAATGACACATCAGCATACCATGCAGAAATTAATTAGTATGCAGGAATGATGGAAAGCCTTACAAAGACATGTAATTCTGAAGGATACAGGTGGTACTTGACTGTCTCACAAATATTTAGGTCATACTTTGTTGTCTTACAAGAATAATTTGATACTTGACTGTCTCACACACATGTAGGTGATACTTTACTGTCTCTAACACATACAGGTGATACCTTACTGTCTCACACACATGTAGGTGATACTTTACTGTCTCTAACACACACAGGTGATACTTTACTGTCTCACACACATACAGGTGATACTTTACTGTCTCTAACACATACAGGTGATACTTTACTGTCTCTAACACACACAGGTGATACTTTACTGTCTCACACACATACAGGTGATACTTTACTGTCTCTAACACACACAGGTGATACTTTACTGTCTCACACACATACACGTGATAATTTACTGTCTCTTACACATACAGGTGATACTTTACTGTCTAACACACATACAGTTGATACTCTACTGTCTCACACACATACAGGTGATATTTTATTATCTCACACACATACAAGTGATACTTTACTGTCTAACACACATACAGTTGATACTTTACTGTCTCACACACATACAGGTGATACTGTACTATCTCTAACACACATACAGGTGATACTTTACTGTCTCACACACATACAGGTGATACTTTACTGTCTCACACACATACAGGTGATACTGTACTATCTCTAACACATACAGGTGATACTTTACTGTCTCTTACACATACAAGTGATACTTTACTGTCTCACACACATGCAGGTGATACTTAGATGTCACACAACAGGTAACATTCAATCAAATGTCCCAAAGTCGTACATTATAATTACCCAATAATCATTAAACATGACATGTCTTTCAAAACTACAGAGTATGAGGTGCTTAGTGAACAATATCAGGACCAAGCGACCTATGCTAGTATAGCAAGAAACTTATTATCTATGTCTTATTTCTAAACCCATATACATTGTGAACAGGCATCCCTGCTGGTTAAAGGGAACTTTACTGGTGATGGGATAAATGATGAAAGGTTGATTCAGATCTTCTTGTTATATCTTTGTTAATTCCTACTGGTTTATCATTATCTGTATCTGATTACAGATTATTGTGCCTACATACCCAGTGTGATGTAAAGAATACTCCAGGCTTTTTAGCACACTCTTCAGTCAGTGGGAATCAGCTTTCATTTTCACACGAATTTCATCATGTTCAACACTGTTCATGATAACTATTCATGGTTTTGTAGTCCTGTAGCATACATTTACCATTGTAATGGTCATTTTCTCTCTCTTGTAAATCTTAGGGTTCAGACTTACTACTCCTTAGACCTGATACAATAAAACAACACCTACTGACAATGTATTGAGTAATGAAGATTTTATATGTACTTCTAGCTTAACTTATGTTAGGACAGATATACTGCCTTGATGCTGATCGAATTAAAACTTACGTTTTCTCAGTCTAGTTTCTGACATTTAGGTTATCATGCAATTATTAGGGAATTGGAAATACATATCATAGCCATTGTTATGACATATACTAACTAGGATCCCACATTTTATAAATTTTCAGAAAATTATAAATTAACAGCATTAAAAGGTCCTGTTATACTGACCCAATTTCAGTTAGAAAATCTTAACATTGCTTCATCTTCTATAAATACATACTCTGTTTGAAAATTCTGATTCCTAAAAGTATTTTGAAGTGTATGTCTACAACTTAAACAGTGGTAACAATAATAAGTACTAGCAGTCTGTATACATTGGTTTTATTGACTTGATAGGCTGGATTAGCTGGACTAAGGCCTGGAAAATGTATAGACAAGCACATGGAGTTATTATAAGGAAATTTATCTTGACAAAAGTTGACTCTTACATTTTCCTGAGTTTGAGGAAATCAAAAGCTGAAAGAGAATCCATAAACTTTCAATAGCAACCAGCTTTTAGTTTTCATCTTTAGATGTAAAGTTCTCTTATAGATGTACGAGTGTCATTGAGTACATAATGTAAGTATATCTGTTTTCACCTGGCCAGTCAGCTGTGTGTTAATGCTAACCCTAATCTTATTTCCAGGTGTGTAGTGGTCCTTATTAACAAAGGCAAGCAGTCACATATACTCAACTTCTCAAAGAAAACCCTCACATCGCTTGCATTTTCGCCAGATGGGAAGCACATTGTCACAGGGGAGGTAAGTAGAGACATATATCAGGAAAAATGTGAATCCTTTATGTAGGTATGCCGAGGGAAGTCTGTAGTTAAGATGTAAGGTAAGTAGGTCACAGGAGAAGTAAGTAGGTCACAGGAAAATAGGTCACAAGGGTGTTTAAGTATGGTAGGTTACAAGAGAGATAAATAGGACAAAAGAAAAGTAAGCAAATCTCAGAGAATTAAAATAATGAGACATATCATTAAAAAAAAGCTGTACATGTTTTTATGAATATTTTAACTTTCTGTGTAATTATTTTGGTGTAGGCAATATTTCTCAAGATGTGCTTGTCATCAGTTGTAATAGTTGTGCCTGACATTTGTTGGTCTGGCTGTAAGTCTACAGATCCAGTAAACTTGTATACATAATGTATATCTAAAGGTTGGAATGCTGTGTATATTGTGTAAGGCAGGATATGTTGAAATGTACAACTTTTATCTGAATGTTAATTGTTGCTACATCAACACAAATCATTACCATCTGTTATGATAAACAGAAAACTATCTGTTACAAAACAAACAGATATAATTTTTAGTATCCATTGATTTGTAAAACAGATGAGTCAGAACAAGCAACACATGTTTGTAGTGTGATAGCTAACATGGAAATAAGTGCAGCTTTTAAATAATTACAATAATAAAGATATGTAGGAAAATATTTTATCAATACAATGTAAGACATTGTGTATAAATACAATGCAGTACAGGACATTTAGTACACCACAAGTATCAGGGTATTGGTCTATTTTATAGAGTATTTTTGAAAACACAAACAGATCCTTACTGTAGATAATCCATCAAACTGCTATCTTTTAACTGTCATTTTTTCCCAATAACACCCATTGGTGGTCATTACATTTTTCAAATGTTCATTGAGTTGTTTTCTATCATATCAGAGTGGACACCAGCCAGCAGTACGGGTGTGGAATGTGGAGGAAAAATCACAAGTTTCGGAGCTCCATGGACACAAGTTTGGTATCAATTGTGTGGTAAGAAAAGAAAATGTTATTTTATATGGGCTACAAGTTTTCGAAAAAAATCATTTGATTTACTGTAGTTAAATTTTGCCTGTAGTTTTTACTAGAAAATGTAAGATTTACACAAGATCTCAAAGAAAAAGAAAAATTCCTAAATTTTTCTCGTTATGATCTTTTAATTTTTTCTACAGTATTACATTGTTTGTATGATAATTTTTTTTCTTTTTGTGTAATGGTCTATCCAGATTTATGCAAATTATTTATACATCCTTCATTATATATTTTCCTAATTTGACATAAACAGTTCCCCATATGTTTTAAGTGTCAATGTTATGCTGGACCAATCTCTCCATTCTTTTGCCATAAGTCATGACCTTCTTATTGTGTGTGTTGTTCTGAGAATTTTGAAAAGTTCTGCAAGAATTTTTATTACAATGTTAAAGCCTAAGACCTTGAATACTTGGTGGTATGCAGTTTAACAAAAGAAAAATATTTAATAAATCAATGCATTATAAAGAAGTTATAACTGATGCAACCAAGTAAACAACACCAGGACTACAGACTCATCATACCACATATATATATATATAACTTGACTTTTCGTGAAATACCCAGGCATTCTCACCCAACCTGAAGTACCTGGTGTCGGTCGGCTCACAACATGACATGATTGTCAATGTCTGGAACTGGAGGACTGCAACCAAGGTGGCATCCAACAAAATCTCCAGCAAAGTAAGCTCATCAATTATTTCCCTTCCATGGTGTTTTCGTTTGTTCAGCCCAGGAATGTAGAATTTTGTTCTGATGAAATTGGAAGAGAAAATTATAAGATTGTTACAATGAGGAAGATAAGTGGCCACACTTCACATATTTACTTGAAATGTAACGTTAATTTTCAGTCTGTATTGGAAATTTTTTGAGAATTTCATGGAATTTTGTTTTGGTCACTTGTTGATGTTTAGTGTGGGTTGCTATAAGTTTTGTTTTAATCTATAGGTGAATGCTGTAGACTTCTCTGAGGATGGTTCCATGTTTGTAACTGTAGGAAACAGACATGTGAAATTTTGGTACCTGGACAGCAGCAAATCACGGGTTGGTATATGTGAAAGTAATTTACTGCAGACATACAAAATAATTCTCTTATTTGATTATAATTATCAAGGGTAACTATAGCTCTGAGCAATAATCTGAAGATTTCACATCTTAGGTGTTATTCTGGTGACACTCATCTCTAGTGTTGTGAGATATTGAAAGTATAATCTGTTACATCTTACTGAGATTTGAGTTTTGTGAGAAGTTGTTGAACTTGTCTGTTCTAGATCAACGAGACAGTACCTCTACAGGGCCGATCTGGGATCCTTGGCACACAGAAAAACAATTTCTTTTGTGATGTTGTGTGTGGAAAAGGGAGAAAAGCAAAAAGTGTCTTCAGCATCACACAGTCTGGGCTGTTGTGTGAATTCAACGAAAAACGTCTGCTTGACAAATGGGCGGAGTTGCGGGTAAGTGTATATAGGCATCACTAGTCTCAAAGGGAATGGAGTTACAGATAGGTGTATACTCAACAGATGACTAGTACTGTATAGTGTCTATATAGTTTGTTGTATATAACTTCAGTACTGTTGTAGATGACTAGTACTGTATAGTGTCTATATAGTTTGTTGTATATAACTTCAGTACTGTTGTAGATGACTAGTACTGTATAGTGTCTATATAGTTTGTTGTATATAACTTCAGTACTGTTGTAGATGACTAGTACTGTATAGTGTCTATATATTTGTTGTATATAACTTCAGTACTGTTGTAGATGACTAGTACTGTATAGTGTCTATATAGTTTGTTGTATATAATTTCAGTACTGTTGTAGATGACTAGTACTGTATAGTGTCTATATAGTTTGTTGTATATAACTTCAGTACTGTTGTAGATGACTAGTACTGTATAGTGTCTATATAGTTTGTTGTATATGATTTCTCTACTGTTGTAGATAACCGAGATAGTATAGGGTCTATATAGTTTGCTACATGTGACATCATTACTGTTGTAGATAAATGAGATAGTATAAGGTCTATATAGTTTACTACATGTGACATCATTACTGTTGTAGATAAATGAGATAGTATAGGGTCTATATAGTTTAATACATGTGACATCATTACTGTTGTAGATAAATGAGATAGTATAGGGTCTATATAGTTTACTACATGTGACATCATTACTGTTGTAGATAAATGAGATAGTATAGGGTCTATATAGTTTACTACATGTGACATCATTACTGTTGTAGACGCCCAGTGCAAGCTGTCTGGCAGCCGGAGAGGATCACATCTTTGCTGGCTGTGCTAATGGTGTAGTGAGGGTATTCAGTGCAAGGAACCTACACTTCCTTGTTTCACTGCCACACCCTCATCATCTTGGAGTAGATGTGGCCTCCGTTCTTAGTCCCAGGTAAATACAATACAGTATGAATATTAGGCTATTTCCATATAGAATCCCCAATTCTAGCTTGTCATCTCCTTGGCGTCCTTAGGTCTCGTGGTGGCCTTCGTTCCTGTCACCCTGCTCACTGTAATACATCATCTCAGTGTAATTCTGTGGTGGCCTTCGTTCATGTCACCCTGCTCACTCTTATACATCATCTCAGTGTAACCTGTATGTCGTCCTTAGGCCTTGTCACCCTGCCCATTGTTAAACACCTTCGCAGTGTAATCTCTGGCCTCCCTAGGTCCTTCTGCCCTGCCCATCATACCACTCTCATGCTTATCCCCATGGCAGTCCTAGAACCGGTCACCTTACCAACTGTTCCTTATCATCTCTGTGTATTCTGAAGTGTCCCTAGACCTTGTCACCCTGCTCACTTTAAAAAACTATCTCAGTGTAATGTCTGTGGCATACCTAGACCCCGTCCCCCTGCCTACCATATCACACCATCTCGTTGTAACCTCTGTGTCATCCCTAGGTTATGTCATCATACCCAACATGCCACACTATCCTAGAATCTTATCTCCTTGGTATCCTAAAGCTGTTTTACCCTGCCCACTGTGCCTGACCATTTGAGAATTTCATGTCCTTTGTGTCCTTAGACTCTGTTACTCTGTCAGCTCTGCAGTACCACCCCACTAATCCTTGTGTCTGTCTGGGTTTGTGTCCTGTTACTCTGAAGTCTCTGCAGTACCACCCCACTTATCCTTGTGTCTGTCTGGGTTTGTGTCCTGTTACTCTGAAGTCTCTGCAGTACCACCCCACTAATCCTTGTGTATGTCTGGGTTTGTGTCCTGTTATTCTGAAGTCTCTGCAGTACCACCCCACTAATCCTTGTGTATGTCTGGGTTTGTGTCCTGTTACTCTGTCGACTCTGCAGTACCACCCCACTAATCCTTGTGACTGTCTGGGTTTGTGTCCTGTTACTCTGAAGACTCTGCAGTACCATCCCACTAATCCTTGTGTCTGTCTGGGTTTGTGTCCTGTTACTCTGAAGTCTCTGCAGTACCACCCCACTAATCCTTGTGTATGTCTGGGTTTGTGTCCTGTTATTCTGAAGTCTCTGCAGTACCACCCCACTAATCCTTGTGTATGTCTGGGTTTGTGTCCTGTTACTCTGTCGACTCTGCAGTACCACCCCACTAATCCTTGTGTCTGTCTGGGTTTGTGTCCTGTTACTCCTTGTGTCTGTCTGGGTTTGTGTCCTGTTACTCTGAAGACTCTGCAGTACCACCCCACTAATCCTTGTATCTGTCTGGGTTTGTGTCCTGTTACTCCTTGTGTCTGTCTGGGTTTGTGTCCTGTTACTCTGAAGACTCTGCAGTACCACCCCACTTATCCTTGTGTCTGTCTGGGTTTGTGTCCTGTTACTCTGAGGTCTCTGCAGTACCATCCCACTAATCCTTGTGTCTGTCTGGGTTTGTGTCCTGTTACTCTAAAGTCTCTGCAGTACCACCCCACTAATCCTTGTGTCTGTCTGGGTTTGTGTCCTGTTACTCTGTCGACGCTGCAGTACCACCCCACTAATCCTTGTGTATGTCTGGGTTTGTGTCCTTCAAGTTGTATTCCCCTTCCCTTCCCCAATAAGGTCTGAAAAGTAATAAACTGAATATATACACTATGTATGAAATAGTTATTTTTATGGTTTTGTTTAATGTATTTGAAATTTGTGATATAAAAAGACAGGATGGGAACCATTTTTCTTTTATTTTGTCATTGTTATGAATGGCATATACAGGGAGAATGAAACATTCTGTATCATAACAGAAGACCATATAAAATGATTTATCATATTTGTTTGTAGTCAGATTCTGCCGAGTAAAGAGGGTTCCAAGTTTCCAGACACAATTGCATTGGTTTATGATGACTTGCACCAGAAGGTAATACACTATCAATTCTTTTTATAATTTTGAGAATTTTGAAAGAGACTGTACTTTTTCAACTTCATGTTACATTTCTATCAACACTTTATGCTAATGAAAATATGTTTATTTACAGACAACGTGTATCTATAACGACCACAGTGTATATGTATGGGATGTCCATGATGTAAAGAAAGTGGGCATTGTGAGGTCATTCCTCTACCACAGTTCCAGTATTCTGGGCCTTGAGGTGAGTGTAACATTTTTGTATAAAGGGGCATAACTCTAAACAGTGATTTTACTGTAGTTGCTGTACCTTACCAAGGTTGGTCTATCAGATGTGAAAAATCTCTTTCTAGAGATGTAAAATATGGATAAGATGATGCAGCATACATAAGGAATGTCATTGGTTAATGTCAAATTATGGACAGAACCTATTCATTTCTCAGTAATGACTAATTCTAAGTCGTCAGACCCGAAGGGTCATCATGATATTCAGATTTAACAGTCCAGAAATTGGCAATCAGTGTACACCTTGTTACTTTTACTAGTGGTCATCATGTATCAGTTTCTTACCCATCTCTATACATGAATTGTTGTTTTGTTACAGGTGGCACCCCCTGTTCAGGATGGTACAACACCAGTGCTGCCCCCTGGATCTTTCATTACATGCTCCACAGATGACACTATACGTATTTGGAATCTTGAGAATCATATGACAGAAACAAAATTTTATAAACGCAATGTATTTTCAAATGTGAGTACTTCATGTAAATTTGATTTATTTAGGAATTAAATAAATTTGTCATGAATGGAGTTTTGAATTAGATATGTTTTTACAACTGAATTTTAATTACACTGTAATATTGGTTTGTATCTAAGACTAATGTTTATGTAATGCAGGAACTGCTGAAGATTTGTTACATTGATCCCTCCATGATGTCTTTACGGGACGTCGACTATAACCCAGGTTAGTAACTGTTGGTTACAATGTGTCCCAGGTTAGTGACGGTTGGTTACAATGTGTCCCAGGTTAGTAACTGTTGGTTACAATGTGTCCCAGGTTAGTGGCTGTTAGTTACATTGTGTTCCAGGTTTAGTAACTGTTGGTTACAATGTGTCCCAGGTTAGTGACTGTTGGTCCTTCCATGATGTCTTTACGGGACGTTGACAATAACCCAGGTTAGTAACTGTTGGTTACAATGTGTCCCAGGTTAGTAACTGTTGGTTACAATGTGTCCCAGGTTAGTGACTGTTGGTTACATTGTGTCTCAGGTTTACTGACTGTTGGTTACATTGTGTCCGAGGTTTAGTAACTGTTGGTTACAATGTGTCCCAGGTTAGTGACTGTTGGTCCTTCCATGATGTCTTTACGGGACGTCGACAATAACCCAGGTTAGTAACTGTTGGTTACAATGTGTCCCAGGTTAGTAACTGTTGGTTACAATGTGTCCCAGGTTAGTGACTGTTGGTTACATTGTGTCTCAGGTTTACTGACTGTTGGTTACATTGTGTCCCAGGTTTAGTAACTGTTGGTTACAATGTGTCCCAGGTTAGTGACTGTTGGTTACAATATGTCCCAGGTTAGTAACTGTTGGTTACAATGTGTCCCAGGTTAGTGACTGTTGGTTACACTGTGTCACAGGTTTAGTAACTGTTGGTTACAATGTGTCCCAGGTTAGTGACTGTTGGTTACAACGTATCCCAGGTAAGTGACTGTTGGTCACAACGTATTCCAGGTTATTGGCTCTGTTGGTTGTAACGTATCCCAGGTTATTGGCTCTGTTGGTTGCAACATATCCCAGGTTATTGGCTCTGTTGGTTACAATATGTTGGTAACATTGATATTAAATAGTTAAACTGCATTTCAAATTCAGTAATGGTAAAAAGAGAACAATTTTACCTTGAGTTACTTCCCTTGGACAGCAAAAATAAGTGCAAACTTTAGTGTCACTACTTTTTCCTTGATCTCAATGTTTATTCATACTGTTTTGACTATTGTGACAACAGCTGGAGGCACTGACAAGACAGATACAAACTATGATGGCAAAAATGGTGTGCGTTCACTCTGTATCAGTCCGGATGGACAGCATCTTGCATCAGGAGACCGGATTGGCAATGTAAGGTAAGTACACCTATTGGTTGTCACTGGTTCATCACAGAATGTTTCTGATGTATTTTTATTATATTATACAACATTGATACAAATTGCTTGGAAGTAACATTCTTCCTATGTGACTTTGTATCTTCCTCAGAGTAATCAGAAGTTGGTCACTGACCGTCAGTCAGTAATCATCTGTTAATGCCCAGTGTCCATGAATTACATACTCTATTCATTGATCAATCAAGTTTGTAAGTTTATGATTGTACACCAATATAAAACCTTGCAGTAGACCTTAGAACATATACATGAAAAAGATGTATTATATTAGAATTCTTCTTGCTTTGTTTTACTGTTTAAGTGATATCTGAGGTATAATATTTAATTTACCATTAATTGAGTAAAAATTGTGTTTTATCTACAGGATCCACGATCTACAGACGATGAAGGAGATCCACTCTATAGAGGCACATAATGGGGAGGTGCTGTGTCTTGAGTACTCGCGCGTCAGTACTGGTATGTACATTGAGTGATATTGCCTCTAATATGGCTAAAGATTGAAATATCAGGTTACTAATGTCAGGATTCACTAATGATTTGACCTTGTGATACCAACACCTGTTTATCAAGTCGTCTGCTTTATAAAGCCAGCGATATGTAAACATACGTATCCCACACTAGACAATTAAACACTTAACTCCATTATTATTCATAATATTTGTTATATTAATGTTTGTATGTTATTGTAAATTATTATAACAAAGTACAGTAAAACCCTGTGCAAATTCCATGTAACCATGTGACCAATAGTGCTTGGAATATGGGGTATTGGAGTAATCAGAAGTTGGTCACAGACTGTCGGTTAGTAATCAACTGTTAATGTCCAGTGTCCATGAATGACATATGCAATACTCTATTCATTGATCAATCTTGTTTATAAGTTTATGATTGTATTTAAGTTTTGATTAACTTAAAATTTCAATTTTATGGTGCTTTTTCTTTACAACAACATATGATATGCTGAAAGCATGTCCCTAAATGAAGGTAGATTAATAAATACTTTTGCATCATCCTGAGTAATGACAAGACCTTTTTACTTTCTCTGAGATCTGATTTCATTGAATCTCTACTAATAAATTCAAACATTGAGATTGGTAAGCTCCATATAGGGACTATGCAATGCAAGTTTGAATATAATTAAGATGTAAACGATCTGCTCAGTGAAGATGTTTGTTTCATCAGTGTTATGTGGGAAAGCATCAATATAACAAAGGTCTGAGTCAGGTGTATAAAAGTGCTAGCATATTTACCGTAAAGCACAGCTGCATAATTTGACACTGTACTGAAACTTTATTTCAAACTCTTTCATTTTGTTTCATGTGTTTCTAGGTCCAAAGCTTCTGTCCTCCACTAGTCGTGACAGACTGGTCCATGTGTTCGACCCAGAACAGAGATATGGTCTGCTTCAGACACTCAATGATCACTCAGCATCTGTTACTGCTGTCAAGTTTGTTGACACAGACAGCCAATTGAAAATGCTGAGTTGTGGAGCAGACAAATCACTTTTATTTAGGAATGCTCAGATGGTAAGTGTTGTAGGAATGCTCAGATGGTAAGTGTTGTAGGAATGCTCAGATGGTAAGTGTTGTAGGAATGCTCAGATGGTAAGTGTTGTAGGAATGCTCAGATGGTAAGTGTTGTAGGAATGCTTAAGTGTTGTAGGAATGCTGATGGTTGTTGTAGGAGCTCAGATGGTAAGTGTTGTAGGAATGCTCAGATGGTAAGTGTTGTAGGAATGCTCAGATGGTAAGTGTTGTAGGAATGCTCAGATGGTAAGTGTTGTAGGAATGCTCAGATGGTAAGTGTTGTAGGAATGCTCAATGCTCAGATGGTAAGTGTTGTAGGAATGCTCAGATGGTAAGTGTTGTAGGAATGCTGATGGTAAGTGTTGTAGGAATGCTCAGATGGTAAGTGTTGTAGGAATGCTCAGATGGTAAGTGTTGTAGGAATGCTCAGATGGTAAGTGTTGTAGGAATGCTCAGATGGTAAGTGTTGTAGGAATGCTCAGATGGTAAGTGTTGTAGGAATGCTCAGATGGTAAGTGTTGTAGGAATGCTCAGATGGTAAGTGTTGTAGGAATGCTCAGATGGTAAGTGTTGTAGGAATGCTCAGATGGTAAGAGTTTTTTTTAGTTAAAAATGCTTTATCATTAACTCTGGTCATGAACATGAAAACATTGCTAGATATCTGTATCAAAGTCTGCGATATAAACTACTACAAATTATTCTGTCTCAATGTATCAAGAGTTCTGGCCCCTTGAAATGTGATGCATCAAAGAGAGTGAGTACATTATCACTTTTTGGCAAATTAATGAAAGAATGATTTTGTGCATCCACAATAATTGCTATGTAAACTACATACAGGAACTTCATTAAGCACAGTCCTATTTAAGCACAATACTTTCAGAGCAGTGCTGAAATAAGACTTTAGTTTAAACATGTATGTTACAGTAGATTTTGTCAAACACTGATTGAAGTGTGAATTACCAGTGATTTGTCTCCAGAGTAGTACCTGATGTACTGGTGTAAACTATTATGCTGTCGTAATATGTTACATAAACTGTTTTTGTGTAACTGTGTCATCATTCCTATAATCACTTAAAAATGTTTTACAGAGTCCTGATTTCCAGTTTTCACTAAACCAGCATTTGGTGGCTAAGACAACACTGTATGACATGGCAGTTGACCCTACACAGAAATTTGTGGTGACAGCTTGTCAGGACAGAAATATCAGGTAACTTACAGCACTTTTCCTTAACTCAACAGGTTCTTATACCTGACTAAAACAAATGGGGTCATACAGGACCTCAACAAACGGGGCATACAGGGCCATGATAAATAGGGCCATACATCATGTTGCACAGGATTCATAACAACATACAAGAGACATTATAATAGAAATCTATAACTAATGGAAAGAAAGAACAAGATCATTTACATGCCTGTTTAATATTGCAGTGACTTTATTACATGGAAGTTATAAGGGGAAGGCTTATTTAGGTATTCCCTAATGCCCCTTTTGTTTGTTTGGTTTTTTCCCCTCTTTTTTCTATTTTGTTGACTTTTCATTAAAATTTGTTGAAATTAGAAAGATCCATTTTGTTCTCTTAGATTTTCACTGTATTTTGAATGAAATATGATATCTTCTAGAATATCAAATGCAAAAGCAAAGCATATTAGTCGTTTATTTTTTTCTATGAAAGATATTAAAAGATGAATATTTGTGCTTGGTAAATTTATATCTGTAACATTTCTATTAATTTTGATTTTTGTTTGTATTTGTTTGTTCACTGAAAAGAGCTTGAGTGTTCTGTTTTCTTTTGTTAGAATCTACAACATAAAGACATCCAAGCAGAAGAAACATTACAAAGGTTCCCTAGGAGATGACGGCACTCTAACCAAGGTTCAACTAGACCCCTCAGGGATATATGCTGCCACTAGCTGTACAGACAAGAACTTGTGTATTCTGGACTTCTGCACTGGGGAGTTAATGGCCACTATGTATGGACACTCGGAGATGGCTACTGGCATCAAATTCAGCTATGACCTGAAGCACTTCATTTCTGTCTCAGGGGATGGGTAGGTCTCATAATATGAAAACCTTAATTTCATCTTTGTGTGATATATATATATATATATATAAAACAATACCTTGCACAAACTATCACCTTATATTGTCAAACAAATAAATGATGACTCACATTTTTGTCTTACAAATGCTAAATGCATTGCTGATAGCTTCTTAAGATCTAAGTCTTCAGAACTAATTTCTCCTGTTTTAAGCCTCCTCCATATATGTACTTTCACTTGTGTCTATTCTGTCACATCTGCTGCATCTTTTGGATGTATCCCTGTTTATAAAATTAGTATCTCTGCTTTAGTGTCACTAATTGACAAATTAGTATCTCTGCTTTAGTGTCACTAATTGACAAATTAGTATCCCTGTTTTAGTGTCATTAATTGACAAATTAGCATCCCTGTTTGACAGATTGCTATAAAATTTACTATCATTATTTCAATTTGTCAAACAGGAATACTAAAGCAGGAATACTAAGTTGTCTAACAGGGATATTAAAGCAGGAATACTAAGTTGTCTAACAGGGATACTAAAGCAGGAATACTAAGTTGTCTAACAGGGATACTAAAGCAGGAATACTAAGTTGTCTAACAGGGATATTAAAGCAGGAATACTAAGTTGTCTAACAGGGATACTAAAGCAGGAATACTAAGTTGTCTAACAGGGATATTAAAGCAGGAATACTAAGTTGTCTAACAGGGATATTAAAGCAGGAATACTAAGTTGTCTAACAGGGATATTAAAGCAGGAATACTAAGTTGTCTAACAGGGATATTAAAGCAGGAATACTAAGTTGTCTAACAGGGATATTAAAGCAGGAATACTAAGTTGTCTAACAGGGATACTAAAGCAGGAATACTAAGTTGTCTAACAGGGATATTAAAGCAGGAATACTAAGTTGTCTAACAGGAATACTAAAGCAGGAATACTAAGTTGTCTAACAGGGATACTAAAGCAGGAATACTAAGTTGTCTAACAGGGATACTAAAGCAGGAATACTAAGTTGTCTAACAGGGATACTAAAGCAGGAATACTAAGTTGTCTAACAGGAATACTAAAGCAGGAATACTAAGTTGTCTAACAGGGATACTAAAGCAGGAATACTAAGTTGTCTAACAGGAATACTAAAGCAGGAATACTAAGTTGTCTAACAGGGATACTAAAGCAGGAATACTAAGTTGTCTAACAGGGATACTAAAGCAGGAATACTAAGTTGTCTAACAGGGATATTAATTTGCTTACGATTAGAGGATTCATTTTTTTAGACATTTTCTAGTCACTTTTGGAAGTAAGACTGTATCATTTTACCAGTTTCAAAGTAATGAAGTAAAATATACTGAAATATTAAATAACTATCTTAAAAGTCCATACAGCATGGAGTGATGTTAGATGTACTTGGTATGTAGCTTGCACTCATGGCAAGCTGTCAAATCCACTCTAAGAAATTACTCTGAATACTTTGGTTTTCATGCAAGTTAGATATGATGATAGACTTCAAGCCCTTTTTTGTTTTAAATAGTATTACAGTTTAACCTGTTAAAGTCATGTGGTACTTCGAATGCAACCCACAATCCTCAATTTTGCTGTTGATATGAATACAAAAGTATTTTATTTAAGGGTATCAGAACTATTTAAATAACACAGCATGTTAAAGTCACTGACATTTATACATAAATGATTCCAGGTGTATATTTGTGTGGCGCCTGTCAGGAGAAATGTCACGGCAGATGCAGGACAGACTTGAAGAACTTGGGCAGTTACCTGAAGAAGCCATAGCTAACCCAATGTAAGGAAGCAGTGATTTGGAAGTCTAGAATTATGTCTTCTCTTGGCAATCTTTAGAAGTGATGTTAACACATAGATTAGACATTGGATAGATTAGACAACTATACAGAACTGGGTTATCTAATGCTGAGTACAACTGTGACAAATGCATTGAAGTCAATTGATATTCTTGATGTCATTGTTTCAATTTCCATAAACCTTTGTAAGAGATTTCTGTGATGCTTATTCTGCCCATAGCTATTAGTTTATTTCACTTTTTATTTTTCTGTGACTTATGAAAATAATGTTCATTAGCTCACCTGGCCAGAAGGGCAGACTGGCATCAACTTTTTCCTTTAAATAACTTCTTCTCAATGACCAATGGACCAAATGTTTTGATATTTGGCTGAAATGTTCCTAGGATGAAGCCTGACAAAGTTTGTGAAAAGAAATGACCTTGACCTATATTCTAGGTCACAGGGATGAGATTTGTTATAACATTTAAACAATTTCTTCTGATGAGCTAAATAACCTAGAGGCATAATATTTGGCTGGTTTGTTTCCAGGATGAAGCCAAACCAAGTTTGCGAACAGAAATGACCTTGACGTATATTGAAGGTCATAGGGGTCAGATTTGTTCAAACTTTTTAACAACCTCTACTCATGATTTAATAGGCCTACAGTCATGATATTTGGCTGGTATATTTTATCAGGTGTGCACTGCAGGCCCATTGGGTCTCTTGTTTACTGTTACTAAGTGAAGGATTGTTATCTTTTTTGTGAAAGCAGAATCCTGTTACATTGCATCTGTAAGATATAAATGTCTTCCCTAGGAACAGAACTGTTACCATTGAAAACCCTGTACAGAAGGAGGCAGAGTTCAAGACACCAACAAGGATCCTGGCAGAGTTGACCCGGCAGATGGAGGAAGCGAGAGCAGACAGTCCACCCGAAAAACCTTCTATGGACTATAGATTCTCTGTTGGTCAGCTGCCAAGTTGGGCCAAGTCCAAGGTACCATTTTTATCAAGGAAATTAAAAAAAAATGCATATTGGATATTTAACCAAAAAAAACTAAAGAAACTACAACAAAGAACCTTATAGAGGGTGTTACAATGTTGTTTGATATCTATATTTAAATAGTTTGAATAGTTGATAAAAATACTTGATGAATCAAAGTAGTTGTCACATTGTAGTTATGGTAACTGTTTAAATCTGTATATTAAACACTATTGTATTACCAGGTGTTGATAATGATCTTTTAAAGGGAGATAAATCTAAGGATAATAAAAGTGGAGAGGAGCAGGGTTCAAACCTGCCAAAGGGTCGCTGGGCTCAGAGGGTGGACAACAAGGGCATAATGGCCCAGCTGGATGGGAAGACTGTAGAACTAGACCTTGGTACAGGTAAGTTTGTTTGCTTATTGTTGGGGAGTTTTACAATAGTCTGTGCAATAAAGGGAAGTAAGAATTGATTACCCTTAATTTAGTTCAATAAGACATGAAGTTGTACCATAATAGTGTATTAAACAGTTAAAATTTTCACGCAATGATGTGTCAGATATTCTTAAATAAGACATCAGGTATTTATATTACTAAGACCTTGATTATTTATGTTTCTTCAACAATATGTTGTGTTATTCCTCTCTAAGATCATTGTGTAAACATGCGGACAGTTGTATAAATATGATATATACAACTGGGTGTATTTGACCTTCTGGTCATTTGATTGGTTGACCAAAATGGTGCTTCACACACATAGAAATTAAAATGCAAAATAAACAGTTCATGACTGCTTTTGAAATGATTTTATTTCTGAACAGATTCCTATCAATGTAGTTCTCTCTATTGTTGTTAAGATGAAGGACTAAGGACACTCTCTATTGTTGTTAAGATGAAGGACTAAGGACTATCTCTATTGTTGTTAAGATGAAGGACTAAGGACTCTCTCTATTGTTGTTAAGATGAAGGACTAAGGACTCCTTCTATTGTTGTTAAGATGAAGGATTAAGAATTCTCTCTATTAATGTTGAAATGAAGGACTAAGGACTATCTCTATTGTTGTTAAGATGAAGGACTAAGGACTATCTCTATTGTTGTTAAGATGAAGGATTAAGAATTCTCTCTATTAATGTTGAAATGAAGGACTAAGGACACTCTCTATTGTTGTTAAGATGAAGGATTAAGAATTCTCTCTATCTATTAGTTGAAATGAAGGACTAAGGACTCTCTATTGTTGTTAAGATGAAGGATTAAGAATTCTCTCTATTAATGTTGAAATGAAGGACTAAGGACACTCTCTATTGTTGTTAAGATGAAGGGCTAAGGACTCTCACTATTGTTGTTAAGATGAAGGACTAAGGACTCTTTCTATTGTTGTTAAGATGAAGGACTAAGAATTCTCTCTATTAATGTTGAAATGAAGGACTAAGGACACTCTCTATTGTTGTTAAGATGAAGGACTAAGAATTCTCTCTATTAATGTTGAAATGGGACTAAGGACTATCTCTATTGTTGTTAAGATGAAGGATTAAGGACATGAAGGACTCTCTATTGTTGTTAAGATGAAGGAAGATGAAGGGCTAAGGACTCTCACTATTGTTGTTAAGATGAAGGACTAAGGACTATCTCTATTGTTGTTAAGATGAAGGATTAAGAATTCTCTCTATTAATGTTGAAATGAAGGACTAAGGACTCCTTCTATTGTTGTTAAGATGAAGGATTAAGAATTCTCTCTATTAATGTTGAAATGAAGGACTAAGGACACTCTCTATTGTTGTTAAGATGAAGGATTAAGAATTCTCTCTATTAATGTTGAAATGAAGGACTAAGGACTATCTCTATTGTTGTTAAGATGAAGGACTAAGGACTCTCTCTATTGTTGTTAAGATGAAGGATTAAGAATTCTCTCTATTAATGTTGAAATGAAGGACTAAGGACACTCTCTATTGTTGTTAAGATGAAGGGCTAAGGACACTCTCTATTGTTGTTAAGATGAAGGATTAAGAATTCTCTCTATTAATGTTGAAATGAAGGACTAAGGACTATCTCTATTGTTGTTAAGATGAAGGGCTAAGGACACTCTCTATTGTTGTTAAGATGAAGGATTAAGAATTCTCTCTATTAATGTTGAAATGAAGGACTAAGGACTATCTCTATTGTTGTTAAGATGAAGGACTAAGGACACTCTCTATTGTTGTTAAGATGAAGGACTAAGGACTCCTTCTATTGTTGTTAAGATGAAGGATTAAGAATTCTCTCTATTAATGTTGAAATGAAGGACTAAGGACACTCTCTATTGTTGTTAAGATGAAGGATTAAGAATTCTCTCTATTAATGTTGAAATGAAGGACTAAGGACACTCTCTATTGTTGTTAAGATGAAGGATTAAGAATTCTCTCTATTAATGTTGAAATGAAGGATAAGGACTAAGGACATCTCTCTATTGTGTTGAAGATGAAGGGCTAAGGACTCTCTCTATTGTTGTTAAGATGAAGGATTAAGGAATTCTCTCTATTAATGTTGAAATGAAGGACTAACTCACTATTGTTGTTAAGATGAAGGATTAAGAATTCTATTGTTGTTAAGATGAAGGACTAAGGACTATCTCTATTGTTGTTAAGATGAAGGACTAAGGACTATCTCTATTGTTGTTAAGATGAAGGATTAAGAATTCTCTCTATTAATGTTGAAATGAAGGACTATTGTTGTTAAGATGAAGGGCTAAGGACTCTCACTATTGTTGTTAAGATGAAGGGCTAAGGACACTCTCTATTGTTGTTAAGATGAAGGATTAAGAATTCTCTCTATTAATGTTGAAATGAAGGACTAAGGACACTCTCTATTGTTGTTAAGATGAAGGATTAAGAATTCTCTCTATTAGTTGAAATGAAGGACAAGGACTCTCTCTATTGTTGTTAAGATGAAGGATTAAGGACTCTCTATCACTCTCTATTGTTGTTAAGATGAAGGGCTAAGGACTCTCACTATTGTTGTTAAGATGAAGGGCTAAGGACTCTCACTATTGTTGTTAAGATGAAGGACTAAGGACTCTCACTATTGTTGTTAAGATGAAGAACTAGGGACTCTCACTATTGTTGTTAAGATGAAGAACTAGGGACCTAAGGACTCTCACTATTGTTGTTAAGATGAAGAACTAGGGACTCTCCCTATTGTTGTAAAGATAAAGGGCTAAGGACACTCTCTATTGTTAAGATGAAGGGCCAAGGACTCTCAATATTGTTGTTAAGATGAAGAAGGTAACTGTATAGTTTGTCTCATCCTATCAGGGAATCAAACCTAGGTGGCTTAGGTTTTCATTTGTAATCTCTGCAGCACCTGACCATCAAATTATAATATTGCCAATTTTATAGGAGTTGAAGAAAACTCGGCAAACTCAGGATGCTTTGGTCCTTATCTCATACAATGCTCGATTACTCACCATATTGAGAGGGTAATTTTTATAAGTGTTAACATTTCTTCACTCATAGGTATCATTATGTTTTGATCAGGTAAAACAGACTAACAGGATTACATATTTATATCCACTGATGTGTGATGTTGAGATTAACCACCAATTCATACGGCGTTAGTGTAGATTAGATCTATTGCAATTAATGACCTTATAAGTATTAGTGGTATGGGTGTTTCCGTATGTGACCTGGGATTAGTGGCAAGGGTCATTCTCCAGCCAGCTCGTCATGTGGATGTGTCTGTAGGTGACCTGGGATTCTCAAGTTAGCGAGTGGTATTTCTGTGTCTGTAAGTGACCCGAGATCAGTGGCACAGGTCATTCTCTAGCCAACTGGTGATATGTCTGTAAGTGACCCGAGATCAGTGGCACAGGTCATTTTCCAGTCAGCTAGTGGTATGTCTGTTAGTGACCTGAAATTAGTGACAAGGGTCATTCTCCAGCCAGCTAGTGGTACGTCTGTAAGTGACCCGAGATCAGTGGCACAGGTCATTTTCCAGTCAGCTAGTGATATGTCTGTAAGTGACCCGAGATCAGTGGCACAGGTCATTTTCCAGTCAGCTAGTGATATGTCTGTAAGTGACCTGAAATCAGTGGCACAGGTCATTTTCCAGTTAGCTAGTGATATGTCTGTAAGTGACCTGAAATCAGTGGCACAGGTCATTTTCCAGTCAGCTAGTGATATGTCTGTTAGTGACCTGAAATTAGTGACAAGGGTCATTCTCCAGCCAGCTACTGGTATGTCTGTGTCTATAAGTGACTTCAAATTAGTGGCACAGGTCACTAAAATACATATACCTCAACTGCAGCCCTTTTACCTCAAGAACTTATGTCACAACATCCCTCTTAACAACAGTACATATATCGCGACATGATCCCTCTAAAAATACATATTATCTCAACAACAGCCCTCCAACCACATGTACTTAGCAACTGCCATCTTGCCTAAACAACAGTCAAACCTGCCTTCATGACCACCTGAATTAAATGACTTTCTGTCATATGTGACTTAAATTTTTCCTGCCAATGTAATTTATTATACAAATGACCTGAATTATGTGAACATCAGTCTTGACATGACTGGTTACCATCATTTCTGTGTCCTACATGCCTCCATAAATAGTAATTCTAGCAATGTCAGTGAAAATTCAAATAGGAAATGATATTTGTGTAATTGTTTTCACAATTGCAAGATATAAACATTGCTAGAATGAATCTGTTTACTGTCAACAAATTGTCGAATTTTCATTCTAAATAGAATTTTGACAGCTATATTATCAAAGCCCAACATGTAATATTGTGAATTTTGGTCTTAAAGTATTGTCAGTCTCTTTAATTAGCATTTAATTATGTCATTTCTGTGGGATATTTATGGAGTGATTATAATATATGGGTAGTGTAAACATTTTAATTGCTATGTCAATGATGAGAACACCATGCAAGGTGACAAACATGTTGACACCTAGCACTAGCACTTGAAGCACAGCTACCATTGCATCGAATAAAAGTGAAATGATTTATGCTGTGAAGTACTATTAGTATTATTATATTGAAAAAAAGTCATTTATATGTTTTGATTACAATTCTTTTTTCTGAGTTTTAAAATAAGAGAGGATATATTTGTGTCATCCGTTTACTGTGTCATATCTTCATGCTTTTTCAGCCATTGTTTGAAAACTAAGATTTTAGGCCTAGAAATTGATCTTATTCCTTACAACTTTCAGTATAACTAGTCATCTTCATTATATCGAAAACATTGAGTCACTGTAGGTACCATTCTGTTCCATATTGGTAAGACATTACCAGTACAGTCGGCCTAGTGTGTAACAACTGAACTCTAAAAGTGAAAGTTGGGTACCATCTGGAATTGTCATGAAAACAAATTTTCTAATACTGAATCAATGGAATATTCGAAGAGTTATTTGTATTGATTTCACATCCCAAATTAATTCCATTTTGCCTCATAAATGCTAAGACAATCATGTGACAGTCACATGTCCCATAAGTCATGCTTCCCAAACATTTTATTTAAAATAAGTTTATTACCGATACACTAGACCAATCTCAAATATACAATAGTAACAATACAGTATAGAAATCAATACTATAAATCAATTGTTGCATCAGTTCCAATTCCTTTACAATTTCAGCCTTGTTATTACCAGTATATAAAAGTTCTTGATCTTTCCAGTGCTTATCTATTCTATTTTAGAAAGAAATTTTTTTGGTACTGAGATAATATGTTCCTGTAGGTTGTTCCAAATTTTGATTACTCACAGACCAAAAAAGGTTTTTCTAATAAGTAGTTTACTGTTCTGTTGAAATAGTTTTTTGGATATCCTCTTATACCCTGTATTTTGACCATGTCTTGCCAAAGTTTATGAAAATCTGCTGACTAGCTATTGCAGATGTTGCTTGTTATTTTGAATACTTTTATCATGTCTCGTCTGATCCTCCTGAAGGCAGGTGTTGTTCAGTTGAGTCTTTTAAGTATTTTAGAGTAGGACATCTCCTAAAACCCAGATAACTGCTTAGTACTGTACTGTAGTATTGTACTTCATTGGAAAGTCATGTTCATTTAGAAAGTGCAAAGTTCTTCTTATTGGTGTAAACATAGAATTTGCCTTTTCAACACGCATTCTTAAATAAGTTCATCAGAAGATAAAGAACAATCTATTATAACTCATATGTCTTTTTCCTGGTCTACTTCTTGTGATTCTTCATTTTTTAAGTAATATTTTTGTTCATCATTATTCCTACCAATTCACATTCTTAACAAATGTGGTTTGTATCATTAGTCAGTTGTACTTTAGTTTGAACAATTTTTATTGTGCAGCTGTTTTCTGATTGTCCCATGTCTTTGTCACATATTTTCTGAAGTTTCCTCAATGATCGCCGTTGTTCTGACCAATGAACATGTGCCAGTATATTGGCATTCCAAGTGATAGGTAAATCAGGCTGGACTGTTTCCTGTTATGATTGTCCTGCCATTTATACTGCGCTGTGACAGCTGATTATCAGAGTTCAGATATACATGGCTAATCCAAAGGTGTTAATCCACACCCCATGACTTTCTTACTAGATTCAGCAAGTAAACATCATTTACAACTCTGGAAATGACAGACCTGACAGTTTAATCATGTTTATAAACTTAAGCAGTGATTAATTGAATGATGTAGTTGTTATGTCAGTTTTGTGATTTAGTAGGTGTATAGGGTAATGATTGGTGTCTTGTAATGACAGGCTGGGTAGGAGTAGTGTCAAATCCCAGATCATTATTGACAGACCATGATAGTGGATTTCTGTACATAGTAGTTGTACAGCTAAGATTTCTGTACCAATTACTTGTACAGGTAACTAAAATTTCTACATAAGTCACATGTACAAGTAACTTAAGATTTTGATATAGGTCACTTGTACAGGTAACTAAGATTTCCATATAGGTCACTTGTACAGGTAACTAAGATTTCTATATAGGTCATTTGTACAAGTAACTTAAGATTCTATATAGGTCACTTGTACAGGTAACTAAGATTTCTATATAGGTCATTTGTACAAGTAACTTAAGATTCTATATAGGTCACTTGTACAGGTAACTAAGATTTCTATATAGGTCATTTGTACTTGCACAGTAACTAATATTTCTATATAGATAACTATATAGATCATATATTACTTGTACAGGTAACTAATATTTCTTTATATATTACTGATAACTAATATTTCTATATAGGGTAACTAAGATTTCTGTATATATTACTTGTACAGGTAACTAAGATTTCTTTATATATTACTTGTACAGGTAACTAAGATTTCTATATAGGTACAGGTAACTAAGATTTCTTTATATATTACTTGTACAGGTAACTAAGATTTCTATATATATTACTTGTACAGGTAAGTCATATTACTTGTACAGGTAACTTTATATATTACTTGATTTTTATATAGATAACTTGTACAGGTAACTAAGATTTCTGTATATATTACTTGTACATCTAAGCTTTCTATATAGACAACATGTATAGGTAAGATTTCTCTCTAGATTACTGAACAAAATGCTATTTAAGATGTTATAATCAGCAAAATATAAACTAGTTTCCAAGGACGTGGACCAGATTTATAATTATAAATTGAACTGAAGTATTTTGTCTGAAGTCTTTTTATTGGTTTCAGGAATAATCTCAACTGATTTCTTATTTCATTGGTTATCAAAACTAAATAGCCCATAGCAGTTTGTTTGCAATAAATGAGGTTGTAAATTACAATTGTAAAAAAGGTCTTGTCATTATCATTGAATTTATAGAAAAATCAGATGTGAAGTCATTATCAGTAAATAAGAACATTCAAAAGTAAGAAGCCATATTTCACTCTGACTGTCGAGAATAATTGTATGTTTATAAGTATCAAACAATTAAGATTGTTTATGTAAGGTTTTGTCCTTGGTTTTAGCTAAGGCCCACCCTCCGGCATAGCTTAGCCTACAGAGCACAAATTGCTGTTAGTAGCATGCATGTTGTAGATATTAAGTATCAAAATCAAATCTCCAACATTCATATTTGAACAAGTCAAATATCAAATTCACAAACAATAAATTTGTAGAGGTAGTAAAGGACTTACAATGCCCTCATGCACAGTAATTGCTTGGGATTAAAAAATATTTATGTCCCACCAGTGCTACCAGTGGTCTTAATATCGGGTGAAATGGTCAGGATAATACTGGAACAACACAGAAAGGAAAGGAGTGCAATATTTTTCTTAACTATTTGAATCTTTTCAATAAGAGATTATACTAATTTTACCAGATGAAGAACAATTACAAGAATAGGTGTTGAACTGAAATCCTTTAATCCAAAACAAATTCAACAAAATTTAATCAGAGAGCAAAATAAAAGTTGAACTTTTTATTCAGGGATAGTTTGAAATAGGGATTTCTTTACTCAACAGGTGTGGGTTGTTTATGCTAAAGCTTCTTCAGAAGTGAAATTATTATTGTGTACATGGCTGTTGGCCTATTCTGTCCACTTGAAGTAGATTGTGTGGTCAGAGTTAACGAGCTAACGAGTTGTTCTATTTATTCTAACAAGGGAGCCAGGTAACCCTGGTTTAAACCCAGACATAAGACGGTCAGTACTGACTATATCATTAGTACCCAGGTATAAACCCAGACACAAGACGGTCAGTACTTACTATATCATTAGTACCCAGGTATTAACCCAGACACAAGACGGTCAGTACTGACTATATCATTAGTACCCAGGTATAAACCCAGACACAAGACGGTCAGTACTGACCAAATCATTAGTACCCGGGTATAAACCCAGACACAAGACGGTCAGTACTGACTCTATCATTAGTACCCAGGTATTAACGGATACGAATAAGGCTTGTTAACAGTCCTGAGGTACGGATAGGGGAGAAGCTTGTAAACACCTCTGAGGTTCGAACAGGGGTGAAGCTTGTTTACAGCCCTGAGGTTCAGCTGGGTTAAGCTTGTAAACACCCCTGAGGTTGGGACAGGAGTGAAGCTTGTAACACCCCTGATGTTCAGACAGGGATGAAGCTTGTAACACTTCTGAGGTTGGGACAGAGGTGAAGCTTGTTAACGCCCCTTGAGGTTCGGACAAGGGTGGAGCTTGTAAACACCTCAGAAGTTTGATGGGCAATAACCTCACAGATTAAATTATGCTTCCTTGAACAGATCTCAAAGGTTCCTGTAGATTTAACAAATAAATTAAATTATCTTATTGGACGGTGATGTATGCGTTTTGACCACCAGATATCCCAGTCAAAGTCCACTTGACAATGGCAGGAATGATGGTAGACAATGTCCTAACAATGGTCACACGTCTCTATTGTATGGCCCTTATCTCCCCTTATCAGTCCACATTGGGTACAATGATGGGCTGTATTGAGTCGCCAGATATACTGGTATATTGGGGTGGCCCTTTTCTTCCATCAGTGTATTGGCTTTGTAGATAGGTAGCCAGGTGCCTTTAAGAAGAGTATTAGAGTGTGCGTACGAGGTGTATACAAGGATCAAGGCATTCTAACCCCTATGTAGACTGATACACATATCAATACAGCTCTTGTGCACTACTAGAGTTCATGACAAGTCAACTGAATACCTCGGTCTGGAAATAGTGCTGTTCTGCAATTCTCTCATGTTTACAATTGAAGAATAATATAAAAGTAGTCATAATCATGCGAAATACTGGAAAATGTGGATTCAGTTTGATTAGAAATATTTCATAAAAGATGGTTTTGATTATTTCAACTTGGAAACATTAGAAGTGTTATAGAAAACATAAAGTCTCCATCAACATGAGGAGTTTTGTTTGTGTGTAAGGATGGCTTTGTATGGACTAAGTATGATTTAATGTATTATGGCTATGTGGTCACATTGGACAGATTGGATTCGCCCCAATCCTCAAGACTTTTGTCCTCCTTCTGAGGAATTCAGTTCTCCTCCACTGGAATTTGTTACTACACCTTGGGATTTTAATTCTCTTCCTCAGCATCTTCGTCGTCTTTCTTGGGAATCTCAGATAGTTTGTCCCCATTCCCCGGAGTTTCAGAGGTTATGTCCCGATTCCCAGGAATCTAGCCAACATACCTGTAGTCATATGATGGGACAGCACTGTAACAACACTGAAGACTTAGACAGCAATGTTATAAGTAGTGAAGTGACGACAAGTGACAGTTTATATTCACCCTTTGATGATGAAAATGGTGAAATTCTTTATCTTCAAATGTTGTACTTTCTAGATTGTAACACGAGAAAAGCAGGGTATGATGATGTTGATGCTCGCCGAGAGACAATGGTCGTGTCACAGCCCGAAAATACACCCAGGGTGAGTACTGTTTATTTCATACTGTGTTCTGTTGTTCAATATAACTGTATGTTTCTGACAGTGATCAGTGTAGTTAATGGCAGTGTCTACAGCATTCCCAGTACTCTAACCTTAACTTCACAATAGTAAAATTCACTTTGATTGGATTCTTCTTATACCAATTAATGATTGTTTTGTTTTTCATACCTTTATTAAAGATATTTAAAATCCTTGAACATTTTTCTCCTCCTTGAACATTTTTTCTTGTCATTCAATTTCTTCTGCTTAAATTGCAGCTTTAAACCTTGCTAAAATGTTTATGGAAGTATTGTGTATTGAAAGTGAATATAACGGTGTATTCTCTAGAAAGTGGTTATTGTAGCATTGAGATCAGTAACATGTTGTATATTTAATCTGTGGATTTCTAGTTACTTACAAAAAGAATGCTAACAAGCTCACCAACCAGGATCTAGCAGAAAAACGTGAAATAATAGAAATTCCAACTTTTAAGATTTTTTAGAAAACAAATTGTGACTCAAATGACAGCGCAGAGTCTCTTGGTTTCAGACAATGGCAAAATGGTTACATGCCCTCATGTTGTAATTTGATTAAGTTCCCCTTGAATTAATGCCTACATTAAGCATGTCCATTTGTTAGGATGATAAAATTGGTAGAAATATTTATACATGTAGTGTCAGTTGGCACTCGTTGTTTCCTGATGAGTCCTAGAAAGACGAAGCAGCTGTACAATACAGTTTGATTCATTGCTTGGCTCTGCTGTATCTAACTATAAATTTGTATTAAAATGTACTTTTCACTTGTGTAACTTATGTACAATCAGAGAAACATTTAAAATCCTTTTAATATTGGAAAAGTGTTTTTCAAATACAAAAAAAAAAAAAAAAAAATTTAGTAGTGATTATCACTAAGTGGAAAATTTTTCAGCTGTTCATTTTAATTAGTATATTAACTTTGCAGAGTAATTTAAAGAATTTGACTCAGAGGGTTTACAATTAGCCATGTTAGGATGTGAAATTGATTTTTTACTGCTAATTAAACTCGGAAGGGCAACCATATATGATGTCTCCGAGTCATTTGTAGATTCTTCATTAATATAAGTACCGTATATAGTTTGTGCTTTCCTCACCTATTTGTATTTATTTAACACTGATAGAAACTACACTGACCAGGTATTTTTGTAAATGTCTAATTTGAAGATAAAGCTTTACCTAAATGTTTTTGTTTTGGCTACAGCTTCTTCTGGTGAGGTTTGCAATCACCAATTGTTTCATATCATATCCTTTTCTTGGTTATATTATTGTTTATTTACTGTTTATTAGAAGACGTTTCTGAGTGAAATTCTTATCAATGATTTTCTCTGTCAGTGTACATAAATGTTTCTATATTTTCCTTTGATAAATCTATGAAGTCTACATACACTTGAATAAAATTTCCTGACAATGTACTGTTTTATCTTACGTATCATGTCATCAAATTCTGTCAAATTTTTTTTGTCTGTTGTTAAGATGCTGAGAGAGGATATTATATCCTGATATGTAAGACATATACCCAGTTGTTGTAATTTCAATCAGGGCTGGAATTTTACTTACTCTGGTAATGTTCATGTTATTTGGTAATTATGATAAAATTAAAACGGAGGTCTAACGTATTCTTATTTGATGATTTAGACATATCATTCAGCTGTACAAATCTAGACTAAATTGACTTATTTTAGACATTTATGTATTCTAATAAAATCATGAAATTTTCCTTTCCTCAAATATTTTATGCAACTTTTTATATAATACTATACTGAAATTGACATCTTTAGTTTTCATCATCAATAACAAATGATTTTGATTTTAGAGGTAACCACAGGATAAGTCACAAATTAAAAAAACCTGTTAAAACACAGGGTAATGTCATCTTTGTAACAAAATTCTCCTCCCTGTTAGAAAACAAATATATAGTCTGCGGAATACATTTTTAATAGTTAGGACTTTTCCTAGTGTGGTATTGCTCTTGATCTCCAAAATAACTGTCCATTTCACCATATTTTTTTCTTTGTGATTTTGATTATTTTGTAGATTGTATTTGCATTTGATTATTTTATGAATAAGTGTCAGTTTTAAAACCAATTACATCAATTCCTGTGCAACAAGGTAAATGTATATTATAAGAGTTCCAGTCTACTCATCGATATTGAATTTTATAAAGGATCGCGCTTTCTTGAAAACAGGACTATTTGAAGCATAAGAAAACATGTTGTTTAGCGAAGGTCCTTGCCACACTGTTTAATACCTGAACTCGGAGCAGTTTTGTCATGTGTCATCCTTTATGTAAATCACAGTGTCACCTTGGTCATTACAGAAGTGCATGTTATATATAGACTCTTCGACTAAAAAATTTTCAACTAGATAATGAAAAAAGAAATGCTGGTGTTTAAAGACATTTGTTGAAAGAATTTGTGATATCATAGAGGTATTACCTCAGAAAATTACATGTTTTAAATATGTATTTAAATCTGAATAAACTTTCTTATTTCTCATCTTAACGTAAATATGTAATAATTTTTGTGTTTCTTAGGCCATAGAAGACAAATATATAATCAACATTGTATATCATTGTCAGCAGTGTCACATTCAAATCAAACTAATGAATTAACATGTCAGGGCATGCAGTATGATAGTTTAAACCCGTTAAATGTCCCAAAAATCAAAATTGAGTAAATTAAGTTTTAAATGACACTTTTATTTGCCACAAATATTTGGAAATGTGTGTTTTAAGAGATAGGGATCACTGGCCTTTTGATTATGTTGAGATGATCTTCAGGTCGACCATTACCAAACCATTTCTCCGTCACCTGGTTTGTCGGCAAATCAGCACGAATGTTTTATCACACATATTTCAAATAATTAATGGAAAAATTTATTTATTTTCTATGTTTTCTCATAACAACATGAAAATGTGCTGAACCTATCTAAAGAGCAATATTGTGTTAATATTTTGGATATTTTTATCATGGCAATATCAGGAGAGTGGTGTAGAGCATTTATTAAGTGTCCTCATCAAGGGTAGTGTTATACACTGCTATAATGTAGCCTAATGATCTATCACAGATGGAAATCTGTGTACAATGAAAACAGAGCCACTTTAAATCAATATAACCTAGGAAGTTACACCCCGATGTAAAACTTTGACTGTGTTTTCACTGTTAGGTCGTTGGTGGTAAGGTGGACAATATTCCGCTCACTGCAGGGATTCTTTTAATCCTTCAATGAGATAACTCCAGAGCTACAACATCCAGGACAAGGCATTACCGGCTTATTGGTGGGAGTCTAGTGCTTGTTACCGAGATAATGTAATACCAAAAAACAGAAGATTTAATCCCCCTGATAAAGCAGGTCCAGAGGACCTTAGGGACTGATTGATAGCCCCTGCTGGCCCAGACTTTCAGGATCAGAGATAATCTCATCTGCATTCTTAGAAGATCGATAGAAGTCCAGGTCAAGCTAATTAGAAAACAAATGATGGCTGATATGGTAATACAGGTATGACAGGTAGGGTAATAGAGTTTTGAAAGGAAGGGTAATACAGGTATTACAGATATGGAAATATGGATATGGCAGTTAAAAGAATACAGGTATGAGAGGTAGGGTAATTTGGGTATGAAAAGTAGGGTAATATAGGTATGATATGATAATACAGGTAAAACAGATAGGGTTATACAGGTATGACAAAATGGGTAATTTATGTAAGATAGGAAAGGTGATACAGGTATGGTACAGTAATGACAGGTAGGATAATAAAGGCATGACAGAAAGGATAATACAGATATGATAGGGTAATTCAAGTACGACAGATGGGGATATACAGGGTACAGTTATGACAGGTAGGATAATATAGGTAATAGAAAGGGTAATGCAGGTATGATAGGTAGGGTAATACAGATGTGACAGGTAGGGTAATACAGGTATGTTAGGTAGGGTAATACAGATATGATAGGTAGGGTAATACAGGGATGTTAGGTAGAGTAATACAGATATGATAGGTAGGGTAATACAGGTATGACAGGTAGGGTAATACAGGTATGATAGGTAGGGTAATACAGATATGACAAGTAGGGTAATACAGGTATGATAGGTAGGGTAATACAGATATGACAGGTAGGGTAATACAGGTATGTTAGGTAGGGTAATACAGATATGACAGGTAGGGTAATACAGGGATGTTAGGTAGAGTAATACAGATATGATAGGTAGGGTAATACAGGTATGACAGGTAGGGTAATACAGGTATGATAGGTAGGGTAATAGATATATGACAGGTAGGGTAATACAGGTATGTTAGGTAGGGTAATACAGATATGATAGGTAGGGTAATACAGGGATGTTAGGTAGAGTAATACAGATATGATAGGTAGGGTAATACAGGTATGACAGGTAGGGTAATACAGGTATGATAGGTAGGGTAATAGATATATGACAGGTAGGGTAATACAAGTATGTAAGGTAGGGCAATACAGATATGATAGGTAGGGTAATACAGGTATGATAGGTAGAGTAATACAGATATGATAGGTAGGGTAATACAGGTATGTTAGGTAGAGTAATACAGGTATGACAGAAAGAGTAATACATATAAAATCGGTAGTGTAATACGGATAAAAGAGATAGGGTAATACCGGTATGATAGGTAGAGAAATACAGATATAATAGGTGCAGGTCTTCCATTACTCTGATTAGTACAAAGTTGTTTTTGTCAGCTATGAAAATGTTTATTTAAGGTTACATTTTAGCCTGATAAGACATTGACAGAATAACAGAGAATGTGGAAGGTCTAGGATTGATTGGATGACTGTGTGTTGATCTTAACTTGGAAAGATACTTAACACTAATCCTGGTGTGTTTTGTCGCTGACAGATCACATTCATTATCTACCCTTAATGTTGTCACAGTTACAGAAGGAATGACAGTAGAGACGGAATGAAGAGTTAATACCAATATTGATATATTCAGAATTTAATGGTTGAATCTTAGTGACTGTCAAAGTGTGAGGATCAGATTTGACAATTTTAAAATGTTTTTGTAATACCCTGAAGCCATCTCTCCAGTTTCGTATATTTAGACTTAAATGATAAGTGTAAATAACATGTAAATGTTTGACATCATTTGGTATGAAAGGGACCAGGGGTGCTTTATGGTCCATGTGCCAAGATTTCCCTGTTTCCATGTGCGTCTAAGCTGTGAGAAGACAGTGACAGAGGAACTAAAAATAGTTCTGATAATGTTATGAACCAGCCAATTACAAAAGAGGCAACATTTATCAAAATACAAAAAAGCTGATGTTTTATGGTGATTATTTCACTCCATTATAAGTGACTGCAGTATGACAAAAACTGCTAAGTAAGTGCTATTGGTTGTGTGGATGCCTGATAAGAAAACTTTTGTGTTGAACATTAATGTATGCTGTCATATACTCATTCATCAACGCTTCACTATTGATGTATTTATATAGCAAAATGTTTGGAGAACAATTGGACCAGCAAGTAGGTTTTTTTTCTTATGGAAATATTGCTTTATCAATAAATATATTGATGTAGTTTGTGAGTTCTATAGTGTAATAGAAACGAGCAGTGTAGAGTGAGCTGTTGTAGACAGCGATGGATAAGGCACTATGGTTGACAGCCAGAGATCTCTACCAATACATATACAGGATTGGCAGTAGAAACTGTGCCAACAGCTTTCTGTTGTTGAGCTCAAACAGTTGATGCTTGATTAAACATTTGGTTGTGAACAGTATAAATAAACTGTGTAAATCATGTATCACCTCTAAACAAAACTGTGTATAAATTGTATCACAACAGTGTGTCTCATGCCTGAATCAGTAGGTTTATAAGGGACCACAGAATTATTATCATAAGTGTTAGATTTCAGTGTCAAACTAAAGATTTGCCTGCTTGATAATTGAGTTTAAGGTGATAAAGAACAGCTTAGTCCAAGCGTTAACATGTGAAAAGCCTATCTGATGAAGACACGCGCCACCAACACATCAACTGTTCTATCATGATAAAACACAATATCAGTCCCCTTCCTTGTTTGACACATTTATGACTTGAACTGGAAATAATAAAAAAGAAATATTTTTGTTCTTATGTGTTTGATCTGGTGAGAAAAAACAAGAGATCTTTATCACAGAATCATTCAGACTGATTTGCTGACTTCATTTTAGACAATAGTGAATATATATATATAGACATTTTACTGTCTGTGATCAGGTAATACGCAGTGCTACCCCTGGATCATTCACCAGTATACAAAAACAATACTGTCCAACACCTTCAGATTACAATGGGTCAGGCAGGGCAATATTAAGGATATGTTTGACCAAGTTTTTAAGGCAGAGAGACCCAGTGTACATGTTATATCTGTAATCTTTGAAATATTTCTAACTTGCTACTGCAAATTTATGAATATGAAAGAAAGATTTTTCTCCTTAAGAAAAACATGCTTCAAAATCAAATCTTTGAAAGGAAAATAATAAGTATGATTAGGTGTAATCATATGTAAGGGAGGTAATAAGTCTTTTAGGTGTTTAATGGTGCATTAGAAAGTTAAAAATATTGACTACATATTTAATGGTATGTTAGGGAGGTAATAAGTCTTTTAGGTGTTTAATGGTGCATTAGAAAGTTAAAAATATTGACTACATATTTAATGGTATGTTAGGGAGGTAATAAGTCTTTTTGGTGTTTAATGGTGCATTAGAAAGTTAAAAATATTGACTAGATATCTAATGGTATGTTAGGGAGATAATAAGTCTTTCTAGATATCTAATGGTATGTTAGGGAGGTAATAAGTCTTTCTCGGTGTTAAATGATGTGTTAGGGAGGTAATAAGTCTTTCTAGATATCTAATGGTATGTTAGGGAGGTAATAAGTCTTTCTCGGTGTTAAATGATGTGTTAGGGAGGTAATAAGTCTTTCTAGATATCTAATGGTATGTTAGGGAGGTAATAAGTCTTTCTCTGTGTTAAATGATGTGTTAGGGAGGTAATAAGTCTTTCTAGGCATTTAACAGTATGTTAGGGAGGTAATGAGTGTTTCTATGTGTTGAATGGTGTGTTTGGGAGGTAACAAGGTTGTCTAGGTGTTTAATGGTATCGTTGGGAGGAAATAAGTCTTTCTTTGTTTTTAATAGTGTGTTAAGGAGGTAATTATTCTTTCTATGTTGAATGGTGTGTTTGGGAGATAATAAGATTGTCTAGGTGTTTAATGGTATTGTAGGGAGGCAGCAAGTCTTTCTAGGTGTTTAAAGTTGTGTTTGGGAGGTAATAAGATTGTCTAGGTGTTTAATGGTATTGTAGGGAGGCAGCAAGTCTTTCTAGGTGTTTAATGTTGTGTTTGGGAGGTAATAAGATTGTCTAGGTGTTTAATGGTATTGTAGGGAGGCAGCAAGTCATTCTAGGTGTTTAATGTTGTGTTTGGGAGGTAATAAGATTGTCTAGGTGTTTAATGGTATTGTAGGAAGGCAGCAAGTCTTTCTAGGTGTTTAATGTTGTGTTTGGGAGGTAGTAAGATTGTCTAGGTGTTTAATGGTATTGTAGGAAGGCAGCAAGTCTTTCTAGGTGTTTAATGTTGTGTTTGGGAGGTAATAAGATTGTCTAGGTGTTTAATGGTATTGTAGGGAGGCAGCAAGTCTTTCTAGGTGTTTAATGTTGTGTTTGGGAGGTAATAAGATTGTCTAGGTGTTTAATGGTATTGTAGGAAGGCAGCAAGTCTTTCTAGGTGTTTAATGTTGTGTTTGGGAGGTAATAAGATTGTCTAGGTGTTTAATGGTATTGTAGGAAGGCAACAAGTCTTTCTAGGTGTTTAATGTTGTGTTTGGGAGGTAATAAGATTGTCTAGGTGTTTAATGGTATTGTAGGAAGGCAGCAAGTCTTTCTAGGTGTTAAATGGCGTGTTAGGGTGGTAATAAGACGTATTGAATGTTTAATTATGTGTTATTGAGGTAATGAAGTTGCCTAGGTGTGTATTGGATTTTAAGGGAGGTAATGATATTTACAGCATATTTACTTGTGTGTTAGTAGGGCTAATGGTGTTTAATAGCTACAAGTTCACAAGTACGTGTCATATAACTGTAATCTTCAATGTGATCACACAGCTTTATTCTGTAACTATTTATATCTTTTCTTGTCATATACTTCATTTACAATGGTTGTTTTAAGTACAGTAAGATTGGATGCATATTATTTTTAGATTTACTAACATGTGAGTAATTTACATACAATTTCCATATACAGAGTAACTATACAGCCCTCAGCTTTTGCATCTTTATATTTCATACATTTATGTTCAATCATAACAATTCCAACCTCACATTGGGTTGGTTGGTATCTTTATGTACTATACCACATCAAACCATTATCAGTGGTAATTTCTTAGCATTTACTGTCCTCAAAGTATCCTTGCTGTTGTGATGATGTTAACCGCCATAAAAAAAGACAAAAAACTTCTCAATTCACAAACCTCTAAATTGTCTCCTTTTATTTTCTCTCATTGACAGAAAATACCAGTCATATTCGATGATGAAAATGAAGATGAAGATGAGGATGATGATGATGATTTCTTCCCTTCATTCCACAAAAAGAAAATATGGGATGAGGTAAACACTGTTTGTTTTTTATTGAATGTCAGCAAGATAAAATGATGTTTTTTTTTCACCCTTCTTACAGATTGGTGTGTGATATGCTAAATCAACTATGTTATAACAGTGTAAAAAAAGAACCAGGTTAATGAAATGTGATAGCCCTGTTATTAGAGCACCAGACCTCGCAGCCTCACTGAAGATCCCTACTTTGGGCAGTTTGTGTTCTTAAGGGAATTCAGCTCACTGATATCATATGCTATTTGTAGTTGTACTTTTAGGCTTTACACTATAACCAAATTGCTCAGGATTGTACATTGAAAGCTTTCAGCTTGTTAAATGTGGTGACCACCAGCAATTTATAGATTCTGCCTCAAAATGAAACTAACTTCACAATCAGTGCAGCAAAGAAAGACATATCTTATTTGCAGAGCTAAGATTTACAGGTTATAACATTGTAGGATATGGTTTGTTACAGAGTCCCAGATTTACTCGTCGTAACAGTGTAGATGACCTGGATGATGACCTTGACAAAGAACCAGAGGTCAGATACTACCCTCCTAGTGAGGTGGACTCTGTTGAAAGTAATGGCAGGTCAGTCTCATACACAAACCCTTATGGTTAGACTTGGAGTTTTGAAGCTTTGACAGACCAGATTACTTAACATGTGTGAAACCCAAACTTACTGAATCTGTGCTAAAGCCTGATTGAAATACTCCAGAATCAGAGTACTATAAAATTATTGAATCTGGACTATCATTTAAATTTGAATTACTAAAAGTTAATTAAACTCTTGAGAAAAAGTGATTGATAAACATGAACTAGACCTTGTTCTATGTCTGAGTTGTTACTGGATTTTTTTTTCAGCTTCTTCACGGTATTTGGGGGAGACAAAGAGAAAAACTCTTCACAGCTTTCTGGTCCAGAAAAAGGACTTGATGCAGGTTTGTATTGTGTGTGGCTGTCTGCCACATAGACAAGTTGACAATATGTCTATAACTGATCTGTTATATCCATTGATGCATTCTCTTCAGATTCTAAATGGATTATTATTACTATGCTAAAAAACACTTCAGTCCGGAATTTATGAATTGTTCACGTTTGCTGATATAGAGAAAAGTTTTTGAGAAAATTTGTCTTCCATAATAGAGCTTTTGAAATTGCTATACATAGTACTATGTATGTTGTACCAATGGATTTTGTTTCAGACTCTGAGAGTACGGATCCCGTGTCTATGGAGGATACTGAGGAGGATGATGATTCCATGAGTATACCCTCCAACCCAACCACGCCATCAGAGGAGTTTAACCTGAGGACTCCAGACAGGGTAGGTTGTCACAGTTAACAACTGTCTGTAATGTTAAGCTACATCAGTTGTTAAAACTTCAGAAATTGTTTTGTGTGATTCAGACACTGAAAATTGACATTTAATATGTACAGAGGCATGTATTCTTGTTCAAGATTTTACTCTCCCCTTTTTTTGTTTGGTTTTTTTTTTTTTTTTTTTTGTGAATACCTTTCATTGATAAATCTTATGGATACCCACTGGTTCTGTTAGTGCTATACTAATAGTTTTGTTGGTATGATAAAACTAGGAAAAAACATTTGGTTAATTTAGTAATGCATTGGAAAAAGTAATATTGTATATGATAATCATGAAATGAAGTCAAAAGGATGATTTCTTTTGTTTTTCTATTTTGTATTTGTATTGTTGAGTGTTATTCCACTTTTTCAAAGAGATGGAGATGAGAATGTATTGAAAATTACGATATGCTGAAGTAGGTGAGAATCTTAAATTAAATGATATAATGAAAGATGGCCTTTTTCTGGCGATTTAGTTTTGGCAATGATTTCCATTTTTTATGTCAGAGTAGTTCTACATAATGTTAATATAGGATTGTATCATTCTATCACAATATTGTTACACAATAATTAATACAACAGTAATAACGAGTTGTTCACTCCCTTTCACAGTTATCCACCATCATTGAGGTAGGCCTATAAAATGCTAGACGTGAGCTCGAGTGTTGACCAGATACTGGAATGATTAACATAAATGTGGTGCAGGTCATGTGTTTTAATTCTTTAATTCTTGCAGAAATATTTGCCGAATAATTACAACAAACTCTGCAAATGAAAATAACTTTTCAAAATAGAATTCTGGTTCCTTTATGTATTTAAGTTAAACCTAGTGGCATGTGACAATGTTGAAACGTGAAGGAGTTCTTGTCTCGATATTCCTGACCACTATCTGTCTAGATAAGCCTTTGTTAGCTAACAGATGACTTCTCAAGATCTAAGAATATTAAACACATGACCTGTACCTGAGGGTTGTTACCTGACAGGTTTTACCTGAGGTTGTTACGTGACAGGTTTTACCTGAGGGTTGTTATTCAACATATTTTACCTGTGGTTGTTGCCCACCAGGTTCTACCTGATGGTTGTTACTCAACAGATTTTACCTGAGGGTTGTTACCCACCAGGTTTTACCTGAAATTGTTACCTACCATGTTTAACCAGAGGTTGCTACCCAGCAGGTTTTACCAGAAGATTGTTATCCACCATGTTTTACTTGAAGGTTGTTACTCAACAGATTTTACCTGAGAGTGTTACCCACCAGGTTTTACTTGAGATTGTTACCCATCAGGTGTTACTGCAGGGTTATTACTCCAGAGGATTTACCTGAGGGTTCTTACCTGACTGGTTTTACCTGAGGGTTCTGACCAGACTGGTTTTACCTGAGGGCTGTTACCTGACTGGTTTTCCCTGAGGGTTCTAACCTGACAAGTTTTACTGTAGGGTTATAGCTCAAAAGGCATTACCTGAGGGTTGTTAACTGACTGGTTTTACCTGATGGTTCTGACCTGACTGGTTTTACTGTAGGGTTATAACTCAAAAGGCATTACCTGATGGTTCTTACCTGACTGGTTCTTACCTGACCTGAGGTTTTACTTACCTGACTGGTTACCTGATGGTTCTGACCTGACTGGTTTTACCTGAGGGTTCTAACCTGACAAGTTTTACTGTAGGGTTATAACTCAAAAGGCATTACCTGATGGTTCTTACCTGACTAGTTTTACCTGATGGTTCTTACCTGACTAGTTTTACCTGATGGTTCTGACCTGACTGGTTTTACCTGAGGGTTCTAACCTGACAAGTTTTACTGTAGGGTTATAACTCAAAAGGCATTACCTGATGGTTCTTACCTGACTGGGTTCTTACCTGACTGGTTTTACCTGATGGTTCTTACCTGACTGGTTTTACCTGATGGTTCTTACCTGACTGGTTTTACCTGATGGTTCTTACCTGACTGGTTCTACCTGAGGGTTCTTACCTGACTGGTTCTACCTGAGGGTTCTTACCTGACTGGTTCTACCTGAGGGTTCTTACCTGACTGGTTTTACCTGATGGTTCTTACCTGACTGGTTTTCCCTGAGAGTTCTTACCTGACAGGTTTTTCTGGAGGGTTGTTAAAGGTTTGCTATCTAACTGTTTTTATCTAAAGGTTATGATTTGAAATTAACTGTGTGGTGTGATGGGATGACTTTTATTGACAGTCGACTGATTTTCCTTCATTAGAACCTCTTTGGTGTTTATAGCTGGTATTGACCATGGAGCTCATTTTCATTCTTACTTGCTTGTATTGTTTATTAAAATACTGGTAATTTCTGTTTATAAATATTGGTAATGGAGACAAGGCTTATTTATCTTGTATCACTCTGCTGTATTGATTTTATCGTACAAAGATATATCAGGGATAAAGACCTATAAACAGCTTATATCTTGTGTTTAAAAACAATTACAGATGTCTTTGTTGCAGTGCAGGGTCATGGATTGCTCAGTACTCTGGGGTCAGCTGTACTTCATCTGCTATATAACTTTCTGTTAAATCAAAGATATTAAAGCAATGAATGCCATCCAAGCTGTAAAGCTCCTGTATTGATCAGTTACACTTTAAAGATAACTTTTTTCTTAGACCTAATCCAATACGTCTTTGTCACTTTGCATGGTAGTTTTTATACTATTTTATCCTATTAAAGATGAGTACTGCACCAAGGCAAAAAAAATTCCTGTTTCTGCTTTTCTAGTAGCTAGATTACTGTGCCTGCTGCAGTCTTGTTTTTGCAGTTTGTCTGAAATACTGAGTCCTCAGAAACTATTTTATCTTAATATTTGAGAGTGGAAGCACAACAGTTTACTTTGTTAGGCCTTGATGGATAACATTTTATCTCTGTAGAATTATTATAATATCTGTCGTTCTGTCTGTCCTTTCCTGTCCGGTGCATAACATTACCCATAGTTAAGCAAGAATCATGAAACTTGGTGTGCAGTGTACCGAATCCAGGGCCCCTTGACCCCACAATTGCAGAGTAATTGCCATTTGCTGAAAACATCTTGTCCAGAGCATAACTTTTCTTGCATGTAAGATAGGATATTGAGACTTGACTTGTTAAAACTGTTTAAATGTGTTTTGTTAATAAGATATGAGAGTTGTTCATTTATTATTTATTCAACAGGTTTTATGTCTGCTTTTTCGTCCCTTCGGCCTTTCAACAGACGAGAGTTGTTCAAACTTTGTATAGTTAAGAGCTAGCTGTGCTATTTAAAACTTTTGATAGGAGCTAGAATTTGTAATGACACTTTAAATGTTAAGAAGTATGAAAGTCTAACCATTTTTTACCTCTAATATGTAATAATATTTCTTTGATTAAGGAAAGATTCAGCAGAAATGAACTTATCCTAATGTTTTATTGAAATACCTTATTGATGTTATAGGAAAAGTTCCTGAAGGACCGCTTTGAGAATTTGAACTTTACCCCAGCAGTGTCAATAGACAAATTCCAGGAGAGGCTTGATGAGATTGAATCAAACATGGCAGATGACACACAGCCTCAGATGGCGGGTAACTCGCGCATCAGTATCTCCACTCGCTTTTTGTCCCGAGCTCAGCAGGCAAACATCAAGTACGTACCCTATACAGACAAGGTTTTTTATCTCTAGTTGTATACACAGAAATCTTAGGACGGTTACACTGTTGAGATAAATGTCAAGTGTGTTCTATGTATACACAAATTCAGACTTGTCAGACAAAAAATTGGCAACAATGCAATATTTATTAACCATTAACTAAATAGAACAAAACTCATCCGAAATATTGTGTCATGCCTTTAAGCATTAATTACACCTGCACAAAATCTGTTCATGCCCTTATTCACCTTCCTTTAAATATCGTATGGTTCACAGTTGTGCCACATCAAAGCAAAAGATGCAGAGAATATTAGCATAAAATTGATTTCTTAAGCAATTTGAACAAGGCTTTACTTAGCATAGCTTTGGAAAGGGATGTATATGTGGAAAAGTGTGTATGTGCTTTCATGGTTTACTGAACATACCTACAAAGCATGATTTGGAAGACTAACATATTCACCCAAAATAGAATGGAAGGAAAACATATTAATGCTAGCATCCAACTTTCTTTTTCAAAATATGGGTGAACTATAGCAAACTGTGAGTAGTATGTAAGTATTGTTACAGTGGTCATAAACTGATCAAAAACATTTCTTTTATTTAGAAACATGGTGGTGTACAACAGTATACAGAGACAGGACAACTGGTTTGATGTAAGTATACAATCAAGTGTGAGTTGTAACTAACAGGCTTGTGTGTATCAAATACTCAGTGTAGTAATGCCCCTACAATAGGGGATGGGACATAAGTGCTCTTAATAGGGCCAATACAGAAGGAGTTTGGACACTGGCTACAACAGACGGCTGCTGTAGTAGGGGATTGGAGCTATTTCCCTATAGGAGAACTGCCTTAGTAAGAGATGGGACCAACATCTTATTAGTAGGACCACTACAGAAGGAGTTGGGACATCAGCCCCTACAGTAAGGCCACTTCAGTAGGGGATGGTACATGGATCCCTACAGTAGGGGATGATACAGTAGGAGTATTTCATACACACAGGTTAATAAAGTTTGAGTGTAACATGTTTAAAAATCACATCAACTAATGTGTTATTTCTTTCTCATTTCACAAGTTTCTTGTTTGCATGAACCAAATAAAATTTCCAATTCACTGTATAATCTAAAGTCAGGGAGCATTCAAAATAAATAGCTGAATTATGCCATGTTTTGATGGATATAGAATTTCCTATCATATCAGTGAATCAACATTGCACTGTAAGTCTTATTTCCTCTGCATTGGTTACAGTTGGTTAAAATGAAGGGCCTGCTGAGTCTCCGACTCTACCACTGTTTGAGGCGGGTCAAGGTAACAATAGTCTTCCACTACTGCCTCAGGTGTTGATTGGGCTGTATATATTGTTTGTAGGAACTTCTCCCCATCTAGCTGAGGTGTTTGAGTGGAATGAACATGTTATCTGTAGGACCGCTTCCCCCTCTGGCTGAGGTGTTGAGTGGGCTGTTCATGTTATCTGTAGGACCCCTCCCCCTTTGGCTGATGTGTAGTGTGGGCTGTACATGTTGTCTGTAGGACCCCTCCCCCTCTGGCTGAGATGTTAAGTGGGCTGTTCATGTTGTCTGTAGGACCCCTCCCCCTTTGGCTGATGTGTAGTGTAGGCTGTACATGTTGTCTGTAAGACCCCTCCCCCTTTGGCTGATGTGAAGTGTGGGCTGTACATGTTGTCTGTAGGACCGATCCCCTCTGGCTAAGGTGTTGAGTGGGCTGTACATGTTGTCTGTAGGACCTTCTCCCAAACTGGCTGAGGTGTTGATTGGGCTGTACGTTTTGTCTGTAGGACCCTTCCCCCTCTGGCTGAGGTGTTGACTGGGCTGAACATGTTGTCTGCAGGACCCCTCCCCCTTTGGCTGAGATGTTGATTGGGCTGTACATGTTGTCTGCAGGACCCCTCCCCCACTGGCTGAGATGTTGATTGGGCTGTACATGTTGTCTAAAGGACTCCTTCCCCTTTGGCTGAGATGTTGATTGGGCTGTACATGTTTTCTGTAGGACCCCTTCCCTACTGGCTTACATGTTGTTTGTAGGAACCCTCCCCACTGGCTGAGATGTTGATTGGGCTGTACATGTTGTCTGTAATTGAGCTGTTCATGTTGTCTGAAGGACTCCTCCCCCTTTGGCTGAGGTGTTGATTGGGCTGTTCATGTTGTCTGCAGGACCCCTCCCTCTTTGGCGGAGGTGTTGATTGGGCTGTACATGTTGTCTGTAATTGGGCTGTTCATGTTGTCTGCAGGACCCCTCCCCCTTTGGCTGAGGTGTTGATTGGGCTGTACATGTTGTCTGTAATTGGGCTGTACATGTGGTCTGTAATTGGGCTGTACATGTTGTCTACAGGACCCCTCCCTCTTTGGCTGAGGTGTTGATTGGGCTGTACATGTTGTCTTTGGGACTTCTCACACATTGACAGAAGTGTAAATTAGGTTGTATAGAATAGAACTGATATATTCAGATCAAGATAGAGTGAAATAGATGGTGTAACAAACCAGATAAGTTGTGTTTTTTTCTAATGGAGCTACATAACAAGTAATAGCATAATATGTTATAAATATCTCAGGTTCTTTTCATCTTTTTGTGTAATTCCAGTTTTGATTCATTTTTGGTTGTTTTTCTTACTTTATCTTTTGTAAGGTTTGTGGTGATGTTTCAGATTAGGTCTGCACATAGTTTTTATTTCATTCTTTAGGAACTAAATTTATCTATGGGAAAGGGATGCTGACTTGGACTTTTAACATAAAGATCAGACTTGATTTCATTTTAATCATTCTTTGTCCTAAAATTATTCTTTATTACTTTAAGTTTGAAGATTGCTTTGGTTCTTGTTGCCTATTTTCCCATTTTTTTTCCTTTATCATTTCTTCAAAGATGGCATGGTTTTATACTTCTGATGATTCATGGTTATATTTTAATTATGTTGTCACAATCAACATTCTAATCCTCATAGAATATGACATAAATTATGTGACTATCCGCCACTATATGTACTGTGTTGTGTGACTTTGTATTGATCACTCGTATTTCATGGTGTGACTAAATATTGGTCACTATATGTGACCAGGTATTGGTCGCTCTATTGTGTTGTGTGACTATGTATTGTTCACTCTGTCGTGTGACCAAGTATTGTTACACTATATATTTTGTGATTTGTGACTAAATATTGGTAACTATATGTATTGTGTGATGTGACTAAGTCATGTACTATGATGTGTGACTAAGTATTGTCACCATATATATCAGCAAAACATCATGGAACATAAACCTGATGCTGAATGCATCTTTATTTATTCTAACTTATCAAACATGTTGAGATTGAATGTGTCTATATTTGAACAGTCTGTACAGAAAAGGAAGGATGAAATGGCCAGAGCTGTTGATGAGACAAGAAAGCGTTTGCTCGCTGTAAGTTAAACACTCATCAAAACCACCCACCCCAATCAAAACTGTCATTCAAATAAAACATAGATAACAAGGATTAGGACACCAGATGTCTGTAAGGCACCTCTCCTTGGGTATGGAACGAATTTCTTGGATTATGTCAGTTATCTTCTCTTGAGTATGACATAAATGTGGATATCTAGAACTGAAAAGTCTCGAGTTAGTTACCTCCCCTTCAATAAGGCAAAGATATCTATAGACTTTATTACCTGCTATCATACAACTTTCTGTGCTAGAGTGCCATAGTTGAAACTAAAACAGACCAGGATCACCATTTTGGTCAAAACGTCAATGTAAACAGTAAATATCAGCCAGCCAAGAGGATGGAAATGATAGCCCTGACCTGTTGTTTTGAAGTGAAGCCAAGTGGAGACTAATGATATCTAGATTTGAAATGTAATATGTCAGTAAGTTACCTGTCTCTGCTTGAGTATGATACAGGTAACTAGAATGGTAAAATTAGTGTCATGTAGTTATCTCCTCTTGGGTACAGCACAGATAACATGACTCCGGTGTACCATTACAGGAGATACTGGTAGACAAAGGACAGAAAACATCTCTAAATTATCCCCCTTTGTTAGGGATATACAGGTAGAAATGATTGTTCTTAATGTTGATTGTAAATAACATTTAGAAATTACTTCAAACAATGAACTTGCATACTGGCTATCAATTATAGAGTATACATTTAAAGGTTATGACTGTATTTTACTATTTTGCATTGGTATATTAACTTTATTTGTAATACTAACTGTAAATTACAAATATAACATCACCTTGTTATGTACTAATCTGTTGTAACCTCCATCAGTATGGATTTCTGTCAGCTACAGGATCTTAGTATTTGTCATTAAAATTTGTATACTGATTAGTTAATTTTGCCCAAAAATATTGTGAATATAGATCTTCCTATTGTTCATGTCTACATGCACTATTTTTACTTTGAAATCCTTTTCTTCTTGATCTTTATAAATTTCTGTATGGCATATGACTGAAACAAAAGGAAAGTCAGTGTTGCATAAGAATCCAGTGTTGGTGTCAATGTCTTTGTCATGTAATTAGTATTATTACATATATAGTAGTGAGTAAATACCCACCTTAGATGCCACTGATTGATATCTTAGATCACACATTTATCTCTAACAAAATTATTTCCATGAGTCTCGTGTCACATCAATGTGTACTTGTTTCTATGGAAACTATGAGTGTGTTTAACACACTAAACTGATATGGATGTGAAAAGTTATGGATAGATGACATTAAATCAGAGTCTTTTAGATTGGTTTCATCAGTAAATATGTAATGAATCTCCTAGGAAAACTCTATTCATTTCAGAATCTTGTGAAGTTCATTTAATCTTGTTTCATATGATATAGGTGTGATTTAGGATATCTTTGTTTAATCTGTAAGTAATGTTGTAGATGGGATGGAATGACAAGACCAGTCCAGAGACTGAGCTACCAGGCAAGGACAACCTGCCATCACCACCAGTCAAGCTGCCTGCAGACCCTGTAAGTACTCAAGACTGGGTAGAGAATGTAGTGGCAGTATTATTGTCTTAAATGAATGGTCTTTGCTACATTGAGGTGAATTTTATCTCTCTGTAATGCATTCTTTGGAGGTAGATCAGTGAAAATTCATGAATATATGTATGTAGGAGGGCAAGGCAGTGTGTGGGTTAGCTTTTGTAATTATCTAAGTCAAAGTTCAAGGTCATTTTTAAGTTATAAAAGTCATTGTCTATGCCATAATTTCTCAAAGAGAGGTAGGTCTCTGAAATGAAAAGGCAGTGTTTCACATACCATTGTGTGCATTTCAAAAGATCAAAGGCGATTCAAGGTAAAATTCTTGTTCAAGATCATAGGCAAAGCATTGTGTTATTTAGTCCTACTGAGATTGATGGTCAGAATAACTATCTGGTCAAATTATGTGCAATATATGTTTGAACTTTTCTGTTGTGACTTTTTGAGAAGCATAATCCATAAGTTTTACTAAACTGCTTGTTGTCTGACAGGAACCTGATATCTTTGATGACCTGATGCAGCAGACCACACCTACCAACAAGAAATCATCACCAATGAACACCCCACCTTCAAACAGTGGTAGGTAATCAATTATCAGAAACACTCCACCAAACTGTCTTTCAGAAGTGTACTTTAGTGGTAGATAGTGTACCAACAATGCCTACAGTGGTAGGTAGTGTACCTACAGTGATAGATAGTGTACCTACAGTGTTAGATAGTGTACCAACAGTGGTAGATAGTGTACCAAGAATGGGTAGTGTACCTACAGTGTTAGATAGTGTACCTACAGTGATAGATAGTGCACCAACAGTGTAAGATAGTGTACCTACAGTGTAAGATAGTGTACCTACAGTGATAGATAGTGTACTGACAGTGTTAAATATTGTACCCACAATGATAGATAGTGTACCTACAGTGTTAGATAGTGCACCTACAGTGTTAGATAGTGTACCTACAGTGTAAGATAGTGTACCTACAGTGTAAAATAGTGTACCTACAATGATAGAAAGTGTACCTTCAGTGATAGTGTACCTACAGTAATAGATAGTGTACCTTCAGTGATAGTGTACCTACAGTGATAGATAGTGTACCTACAGTGTTAGATAGTGCACCTACAGTGTAAGATAGTGTACCTACAGTGTTAGATAGTGTACCTACAGTGATAGATAGTGTACCTACAGTGATAGTGTACCTACAATGTAAGATAGTGTACCTACAGTGTTAGATAGTGTACCTACAGTGATAGATAGTGTACCCACAGTGATAGATAGTGCACCTACAGTGTTAGATAGTGTACCTACAGTGATAGATAGTGTACCTACAGTGATAGATAGTGTACTCACAGTGATAGATAATGTACTTACAGTGATAGATAGTGTACCTACAGTGGTAGATAGTGATAGTGTACCTACAGTGGTAGATAGTGTACCCACAGTGTTAGATAGTGTACCTACAGTGATAGATAGTGTACCCACAGTGATAGATAGTGTACTTAAAGTGATAGATAGTGTACTTACAGTGATAGATAGTGTACCTACAGTGGTAGATAGTGATAGTGTACCTACAGTGGTAGATAGTGTACCCACAGTGTTAGATAGTGTACCTACAGTGCTAGATAGTGTACCTACAGTGTTAGATAGTGTACCTACAGTGTTAGATAGTGTACCTACAGTGATAGAAGGTGTATCTACAATGATAGATAGTGTACCTACAGTGATAGATAGTGTACCCACAGTGATAGATAGCGCACCTACAGTGATAGATAGTGTACCCACAGTGATAGATAGTGTACCTACAGTGATAGATAGTGTACCTACAGTGATAGATATTGTACCTACAGTGATAGATAGTGTACCCACAGTGATAGATAGTGTACTTACAGTGATAGATATTGTACCTACAGTGATAGATAGTGTACCCACAGTGATAGATAGTGTACTTACAGTGATAGATAGTGTACCTACAGTGTAAAATAGTGTACCTACAATGATAGAAAGTGTACCTTCAGTGATAGTGTACCTACAGTGATAGATAGTGTACCTTCAGTGATAGTGTACCTACAGTGATAGATAGTGTACCTACAGTGTTAGATAGTGCACCTACAGTGTAAGATAGTGTACCTACAGTGTTAGATAGTGTACCTACAGTGATAGATAGTGTACCTACAGTGATAGTGTACCTACAGTGTTAGATAGTGTACCTACAGTGATAGATAGTGTACCCACAGTGATAGATAGTGCACCCACAGTGTTAGATAGTGTACCTACAGTGATAGATAGTGTACCTACAGTGATAGATAGTGTACTCACAGTGATAGATAGTGTACTTACAGTGATAGATAGTGTACCTACAGTGGTAGATAGTGTACCTACAGTGATAGATAGTGTACCTACAGTGATAGATAGTGTACCTACAGTGATAGATAGTGTACCCACAGTGATAGATAGTGTACTTACAGTGATAGATAGTGTACCCACAGTGTTAGTGTACCTACAGTGCTAGATAGTGTACCTACAGTGATAGATAGTGTACCCTCAGTGTTAAATATTGTACCCACAATGATAGATAGTGTACCAGTGGTGGTTATTAGTGTACCTACAATGGAAGGCAGTGTGCCATCACCTTGACACATAGAACCACTCCACAATGTACAATGTGTCTTATCATCCGACACGTAGAACCACTCCACATTGTACAATGTGTCTTATCATCTGACATGTAGAACCACTCCACATTGTACATTGTGTCCTATCATCTGACACGTAGAACCACTCCACTTTGTACAATGTGTCCTATCATCTGACACGTAGAACCACTCCACTTTGTACAATGTGTCCTATCATCTGACACGTAGAACCACTCCGCATTGTACAATGTGTCTTATCATCTGACTCGTAGAACCACTCCACATTGTACTCTTTCACTACACTCTAGCGTTTAACTGTTGCATGCTTCTGTGTCCCTTCTGTAGAACTGTATTTGGGGATCAATCAAAGACCTATCGGTAGCCATCATCTTTTACAATACCTTCAAGTTGTATTTCTTGGTTAAAAGATGTTTTATGAGGAAACCATTTTTTTGTATATTTGACTTTGATTGCAGTTTCCAAATGAAATTGTTTTCTGTTTGTAAAAACAAAATTTGTGAAATAATCTTTACTCATGTTATGATTGGACAGTTTGTGATGTAGAATATATAGAGGTAAGTTTGGATGTATATATACCACTGTTAGACTATTCTGATGTGTACTTATTCATACTTGTAAGAAAACTGATTTGTGAAACTTGAAAAACATAATTTTAACATATTTTTTTCTTTGCTGATAATTATTATTATTTCATTATTAAATTGTAATAAAGTTTAAGGGAGATCTTGAGAAAGTTGCTGTTGACACTTTCCACAAGGGAGGCAACTCAGCCATTTTTGTAGACCTGCTCGATAAATTTCTACTGCTTAACCTTTAATTCTTAGGCCCTCATACATCAAAATCGTTGCGTCGCTGTTGGTCAAGCTTTGACCTTCCAAAGACACCTATATTTGAGGAGAAGCCATCTTGTTTGCATAGTGCCTCCAATCCAAACACTCCAGTCATCAAGACTCAGGGTAAAAAAGCGTCCATGTGTCGAATAGGCACAACTGCCTCTTCTACTAAACCTAGGCCATCATGGCGCAGCCGGATCCCCACTCCTACTGCACTTTCTGCGCGCCAGGCTCAGACTCAAGCTAGCTCAAACAGGGGTAAAGTTGCAGTGGCAATGCATGAAGTACACTATAAATGGGAATGCCAGTGTTCTTTACACCCATCCAAATTTTAATATTTGGGGAATTCTAACAGCCAACACACTGTCTATGAATATTATATCCATGTCGCTTTGTGTTGGTATGTGTTTTCATAAGCTTTTCAACTAATGTACTAATTTGAATGTAAACTATGACAGAGTTTTAAGTTGTACAAAATTTACCTGTCCATATAATTTTCTTTATCTTGAGAGTCTTTTTTAGTCATAATTTCTCTTGTGCAGAATTTATCATACTCTACACTGTACCTATTTAATTTTGTTGACTTGAAAATTATTGAATAAACGATATCAGTTTAATTGTGCAAGGGGAATGCTGGATTTCTAAGACTGTTAACTGAGTATTTTGTTTTCAAACTTCAGAAGCTTTGAAAGCGCTGAGACTTTTGATCAGTCATTTCTTTTACTCAGTTTGTGCATTGCTGATGTTAACACATCATGTAACCAGGAGGAGAGGTAATCCTCTGGCTGTATGATTGTTAGCTGGAACCTTACCCTTTGGTTTGATTACCTGTAATCTCTTGCCTCTATATTGTAAATCCTGTGACTGAAGGTACCTCCCTTGTCTCCACAGTCTACAACCCGCTGGGTTTCCAGGGAGCTATCTTATGTTACTTTCATCCCTGATCATAACCTCTGGATTCCATAAAACATGTTCACAGTATTTATCATGTGTGTTCACAAAGGTATAAGTCTTATATCCTCGCCTACTTTAATTATAAAGATTTAACCCAGAGGTTAACCTCAGCTATGCAGACCTGTGGACTGTGGTAACCTCAACAGTACAGTCTTTAACATCTGATACATTAATATCGACCATGTAATCCTTACTTCTCTAACCTTAATTGCAGGGCCCCTAGTTTCTTTGATACGAAAACATTGATTGGCTGGCTGAAACAATATAACATTGAATGTATGGTTCTAACTTGTCATGTAAGCCAGAGGTACTGATCAAACTTTGGATTTTAGTTGCCATTTCTTTATGTTTTGCAGTCCATCAACAGCAGTGGTTTAGATTTTTATTCATTTATTTGTTTGCGTTTTGATTAAATTTGAACATTGGTTACAAAGTAACCAGTACCTGGTATATCAAAAAATGTTTGATCTAAAAGTAACGCGTTTCTCTGATATTTTATATATGTTTTGTTTTGCCATCTTTGCTTTCCTCAGTCTTCATTTGATTTCCATCTCTTCCTGCTTTGGAGCCTCATCATTTTGATATTGTCAGTATGTGTAGTACAAGTAGCCCTGGAGAAGTGTTAGTTTGGCATGGAATTTATAGGCATCTATGAGGCATGGGTTCATTGAGAACCTTTAATTTGTTTTCAGTTTTCGTATTTTTGCATTTTAATGTCTTAAAATGTACCTACCTTCTGTTTTAATTTTCTCCTTTGATTTTTGCGAAAGCATTTCATTTTGTGGGAATGTTTTTATGTATATAGACCAGTGGAACTGGCTGGACCAATGAAATGACAAGCTTTGGTGATGAAGACATGCTGTACAACTTATAATTTCGTCTTTATATTAGCATATATAGCAACTTGTATGTGACTTTAATCTGAAGTGACCACACTGTGATACCAACACCCTATATCATTTGTTTACTGGGCACTTCTATAAATAGATTAGTTGTATCACAGTGTCGTTACCAGACTCTTCCTCTCTGCTGCACCATGTCACATGACTACAGTCAACTTAAGGATGCTTCAGTTAACATCCATAATGTTTGTTTGTGTCTATTTTTGAAACCTCCAAAAAACCTTGATGCATGTTATGTGTAGAACAGAGAAGGTAAATAACCTGACACATTGAAAAAAAACCATTACATGTTATATGAGTGAGAGTAAGAAGAATCCGGTTTTGATATTGATAATGACTGGTGGGTAGATGTGGTGCGGTGTAAGAGTCTGGGTATGTATGGGTAGTCTGGTACACTAATACCTGTATACTCCAAACGTATATCACAGGTTACTACTGGTTAACAGACATGTATAGTGTGTCTACAATGTAGTTTAGAAATTTGATCCAGTTATCTATCACAGTTCTAGATTTTTAAGAATATTGAGGACAGTTTGTAATCTATGTAATCAGTGCATGTCACTGCAGTTTGACATGTTTTACACTTACATCACATGATAGAAGCATGATGGATGGCATCCATTATAGATTATGTACAGAGTTAGTACAGTTAATTAGGATTCAGACAAGTCCTTTATCCTGTCAGTTATAAATTATATGCATATATGAATTCCATGGATATAACCTGTTATCTGGTCTTTACAGCTACCATTTGGGACAGCCGATCATCAACAAGTGAGGACAGCAGCGATCAAAAGACACCCACTAATAAGTCCCCTAGTCGCAGGTCACGTCCCTCCACTCTAACTCTGGAACGGGAGAAAAAGCGACGAGAGGCTAGTGTGGAAGTGCCCATTAGGGGTGGAGAAAAGAAGGTGACACCTAGATCACAGTCTCAAAGCTCCCTCTATAGGCAAACAGAAAGCTCCAAAGCCAAGAAGTCAATGGGTTCCTCCAACAGTCTAGCACAGCAGGACAGACAGACACCCAAACATTCCTCCAATCTCACCAAAAGTACATCCATGACAAATTTGAGCGGTGGTGAACGTCTGTCACTGCCAAAGTCACGACCTCGTATGGAGGCCAAGAAACTCTCCTCACTTTACACTTCAACTCCAAACCTCTTACAGGCCTTAGACAAAAACTCAGACTGCGATGATATTCCATCTAAATTAAAAGTGCAATCAGACATAAGTTTATCAGATAGTGACCTTCTTGATGAGGATATTCCAAAGACAACTTCAAAGAAGGGTTCTCAAGCAAGGACATCCACTTCCAAGTCTCCGGCAGATGTGAAACGCAGCTCCATGGGTGGTGTTGTGTCTAAGAGTGTACGGAGCAGTAGTGCCACACGGGCTGGCAGGTTATCTCTGCCAGCCTCACCCGCAGTTAGTGCAGACAATAGAACTGTGAAAAAGTCTTCTGTGCTCAAAGAGGACAAAGATCTGATGCCCCCTCCCTCTAAAGGTGTGGTTTCCAAGGGTAAACAAGACACCTTCATGAGGAGGGCAGTTCAGTCTAATCGTAAAGGTGTGTCAGAACTTACCCTGGCTCAGGCTAAAGACATTTTGTTGGGGAAATCAGGAATTTTGGGATCAAACTCAAGATCCTCCACGAACACTTCCTCAACAGTAACAACCACATCATCATCCACTAAGTTGTCTCATTCGAAACCATCGGCATGTTCAACAAAGTCATCTACAAAACCGTCTACTAGTAAACAATCTGTACATTCGTCGACATTCCCAAAGTACTCGGTGGCTAACACTAGTTCTGTGTGTACAACCAGTGTTGCCATGACAGCCATCTCATCGTCTTCCATGACAAATTGTATTACCTCTAATTCCTTGTCTCCAAGGTCACTGCAAAAGGAAGCTAACCACCGACAGATAGCAACAGAGATAGAGTCAACTGCAGCTGAGATACGCAGCAAAAACATAATGGAAGCTGCCTTCCAGAATTTGTCTGTGCTAGACGCCAGTCCTAATGATTTACCTGAAAGGGACCTGCCCCAGGTGTCCTCTCTTTCAAAATCTCCAGTTGTGTCTGGTACCAATGTGATATCAACTCCTAAATGGAGAGACCTTTATTCTGAGGATGTGAATAAGGTAGTAACAGATGATTATGTGAACCAACCATCAGGAACACAGGAAGAAGAAGAGGAGAATGGTCTGGCACACTCCACCAGTATCAAGGAGAGGATAGCAATGTTGCAGTCTCACTCCTCTCCGCAGTCTAGTCCTCGATCCACCTCCACAGCCCATATCACACTTACCCCCAGTAAATCCCCAGGCTCCACCCCATGTGTCGCCAAATCTGGGTCTCCTGTCAGCTCAACACTCAGCCCACGCAGTTCCTCTGGTATTGGCTCAAGCCTTGACTCAGATGTTGCCTCCAAATTGTTTGCCTCGCCTGGCAGCAGCCTAAGTCCTCATAGTAACTATCACATAGCTTATGATATATCTGACTCTGATGAGGGGTCAGAAAAGTCACCACCTCAGGATACCACTGTACAGTCCTCTTCATTCAGTTCAGAGCTCGATTTTACTGGTAAAAGGTAAGTTAATTCAGTGCTCCTCAACATATTTTCATGTGTTTTGACAGATTTAGTCAGGAAAGAGTCTAACTATACATTTATCATACCTGTCTTCTACTAGGAGCTTTTATTTCAAATAAGTTTTCTCTACCAGAGCTTTAAATAAAGAGCAATACCTGAAAACAAAATAGAGAGGAAGTTTCTCCATATCTGATTTCCTTCTATCATAAACAGCAATCTAGGAACTGAAGCACTGTGCTCTGAAAAAGCTTACCTGGTAGTGACAAAGATTTTATCAAATTTGATGTTTACATTTGTTTAAAAAAATCTTCCAGGTTATCACTGAGTAAAGCACTAGAGGCAGTACATGGGGGTGAAGGTAGTAGTCGCGACTCTCCAGCATCAGTAACATCCAGTAACCAACCTGACTCTTCTACTCCCACCAATTTGACCTCTAACCTCCAGTCAGACTGGCCCACATCCAGTACCAGGTCAACACCTTCGTCTGTCATTTCCAACCGGTCAACTCTGAATGACTCGCCTAATGCCACCAATGGGTTCACACCCATCAGTCCCCGCAAACAAGGTTAGTCAGTTTACTAACATTATTCACCTCAAACTCGGTACAAAATGTAGCTTTATCTACAGGTGTTACAAACACGGTACAAAATGTAGCTTTATCTACAGGTGTTACAAACAGTACAAAATGTAGCTTTATCTACAGGTGTTACAAACATGTACAAAATGTAGATTTATCTATAGGTGTTACAAACACGGTACAAAATGTAGCTTTATCTACAGGTGTTACAAACGAGGTACAAAATGTAGCTTTATCTACAGGTGTTACAAACAAGGTACAAAATGTAGCTTTATCTACAGGTGTTACAAACGAGGTACAAAATGTAGCTTTATCTACAGGTGTTACAAATGAGGTACAAAATGTAGCTTTATCTACAGGTGTTACAAACGAGGTACAAAATGTAGCTTTATCTACAGGTGTTATTCACTTTCGCTTACACTGTCAATGGATTCAGCTTAATTTCAGTTCTTCATGCTTACCCTTGTTGGCTAGATAAATCAATATTTTGTCTACATGTAAAAAATTACCTCATAAATATTCACACGGAATTCCTTATATCTTGTTGTTTGATACATTTCCATTAAAAACAAGAGTTGTAGTGGTCTTGACGGTCACACGAGGTAAGCATTATTGAATATATAGGTTAAATGGTAAGTAGTTTGCAAGTGCCACAAAAAAGCTGTCATCCTGTGCTAATAATTCTACCCAAGTTCAAAATGTTTCCAATGGAAATTAAACAAATTATGATAAAAAATCTACTTTCCTATATAAAATATATTCTCGTGGGGAAATGTGAGACTTTGTGGTTCTGAAATTCTCAGTTTTTGGTCAAACACCTTAAGACTCTTCCATCCATGGGAAGTGTTTGTTTCTACCATATCTAGATGTTTAGAAGATTAAATTTTTGAAATTTTAGTCAATTTGACCACATTTTGGCCGAGCAGGGATGGGGACCATCTTATTCTTGATTTTAGTTCTTCTTTAGCCTGGTAAAGTTTCTGCAAAATGTTGAAAAAGTTAGAAGTTTATGGATGCATGAAGCTGCACAAAAGATGTTAGCAACAGGTCACCGTGAGATTTGAGAAAATTAAAACCTGTTACATTCATCCATTTTTTTTTGTATTTCCAGATTATCTTCAGATATGTTTGGAGGCAGTTAAAGAACTAAGACAGTCAGTGAATAAGGTTTCAGATCTGTATGATCAGGTAAGTTTACAGGGACACATGTAAATTTGTCTTTACTGATGAGTTTTTACCATGATACCTTAGTGAATAGTGATACAGCATCGTATATTTCCCAACAGACTTAATGATTAGGCTGAATTTGTTGCAATGAATTATGTCAGTTCTTTTTATCTTTATTGTTGTTAAATAAAAGATGAAATCTGAAGTTTTATTATTTTAATCTAGACATTTGTATTTTCTTGTCATTTAACACATATTAAAATGTTTCACTTGACAGGTCTATTCTAGTAGTGACAACAAGTCAAGTGAAGCTGCATCAATTCTAGTAGAAGCTGTCAAAGAAAACAGACAGACATTTTCTGATCTCTTGTCTCGAACTTGTGACCAAGAGGATTTTTCTAAGAGCAGCACAATGCCAGGGACTATTCCAAAGGAGGTGTTAGAACCAATGCTTTCTAGCTTTGGTGACCAACTGTTAGAGCGCTTTGAGAAGCTGGTCACACAAAAACTTCAGGCAGAGAAACAGTAAACTGTTGACCTATTTTGACCCATAAATTTTCATTATGATACAATGGATGAGTCAACAAATTTACTTTCTAGCAGAGTCTATAAACTCATTCACATGGCAGAGTCAACAAATTTACTTTCTAGCAGAGTCTATAAACTCATTCACATGGCAGAGTCAACAAATTTACTCACATTCTGGCTGAGTCAGTAAACTCTTTCACACTATGGCCTATAATTTGTAATTCCGAGAGTAAATTATGGAAAAACTGGTGACAGAAAACGATAGATTTTGTTCCCCCTTTCCTCTTGCCAAAATAATAAATATATTTTTGTTCTTTCCACGTGCTGAAATTCTTTGTTTTGATACATGTGATAATTTGGCCCCATTTAATAAGCTTAACAAAATGTGACGTGTTTGCAAATTTTGATCTAGTCAGTATTAAAAAACATTTTCTTTTTAGAAATAACAAAATTATGTGAAGAAAAGAAACGAGATGGTAAAAGACTTGTAACTAATTCTCAATAAGATTGACTTGAATTGATGTGATGTTTGATTTGAACAATCGGGCACTGATTGTTCGAAGCCTGACTGGGTTGTGCGTTATTCTGGTTGTGTTAACAGATATGGACAAGGATATTTTTGTCCATTAAGTGTGAATATATTGTTTTCTTCGAGTCTGTGAACCATTTCTCAGATAGATCATGTGGTTTGATCTTACAATGCTCAAGACTATTTCATTATAAAATAGTTCTTGGTTGACTGGGAGTAAGGGCTTGCCTAGCTTATAGTCATGTTTCATTGTAATTACTCTTACTTCACCCTGTCTATTTATTTGTACAGCCATATAAACATTTATTTTTGTATGTGTGTGTGAGATTCCATCAACATGGAATGAACAGGTTCGTATAAATGATCTCTACTGTGTAGTGAACTGTATAGATGGTGACAGTGTCACAATGGTGTTTGCAAGTCACCTACCTTAGTAAAGAAGGATGTGATGATTATCACCTCTATGGTGACCAGTGTGTTACCTGTCCTAGTGAAGAAGGATGTGATGATTGTCACCTCTATGGTGACCAGTGTGTTACCTGTCCTAGTGAAGAAGGATGTGATGATTGTCACCTCTATGGTGACCAGTGTGTTACCTGTCCTAGTGAAGAAGGATGTGATGATTGTCACCTCTATGGTGACCAGTGTGTTACCTGTCCTAGTGAAGAAGGATGTGATGATTGTCACCTCTATGGTGACCAGTGTGTTACCTGCCCTAGTGAGGAAGGATGTTATGATTGTAGCCTACATGACAAGTGTGTGTGTGTGCATGTGCGTGTGCGTTGCCGAAGTGAGCAAGGGTGTAATGACCTAGTCATTTGTGTTTCGTGTTTGCCAAAGCAATAGTGATGCATTGTTAGGTAACAAAATGTTGCTGATATAGTTTCCTGTTTAGAGAATACTAGCAGCAGTTCCATTCCACAGATTTCTATCCTGTAGCTTTTTTTGCTGTGATTTATCTCCATGTTGATTTGCATTTATGACTAACAAATTTCTAATGTATGTGTATGTTATAATGTTATTTCTGGTACTTATTTTCCTTATGATAGGAGTAAGGAATGTGATCGTTTCTACTGAGACTGAACACAACACAGGAGAAATACCTTGTACAGTAAACATATCATACCTCAGCAAGTCTTCCAAATGGCCTGCCATGTTGGCATTTGTATCCCTATTTTGTGATAAAACATTCTACTACCATGTCTGATTTAACTAGTGTACAGCCTTCTTATCATTTCTATACATAAGCATACTTCAGATTATTAAAAAATGGCATATGTTGTTATGATTGATTGAAAGTAACATGAAGATTGTTGTTCTATTTGTATGTTTTTAAATATTGTTTAGCAAATACATGTAGTTTCAAAGGATTTATTAACTACAGATATTTTAGAACACAACAAGTACATGTTATGATTAAAAAGCTAAAATTTGTGTTGTTAGTTCTTGTAAAAACTATTTCTTTTTTGATCACATGAGTTGATGTGTTTACGGTACCAAGGTTGTAAAAATGTTTTGTAAAATCTTTTGACTTGTTACTTATTGTGCAATATATCAAACTGTAAACTTGTGTTTCCACCACAATTTGAACAAATAAACAGTTGATACATTTTCACGTGATAGTGAAACATGTACAATTCCACACATGCCAAATCTTTTTACCCGACTGCCAATTATGTGAGGTTTTGCTTTCCCCCTATCAGCCAAAGTAAATGATTGTTAATGTGAAAATTGCTTCTCTCTAGAGTGAATGTGAGCAGTGAAAAAGTGTTGTTGATTGAATTTATGACATTTGTTTTCACATTATTATTGGTTGGTGTTACATTTAAGCAAAATTTCTTTACTTGTCTCAAAGAAAAGTTTTCTTTATTTATCAGACATTGAAGAACTAGGACAAACTGTTTTTGTGATCAAAATATTAGCACTACATTTCATTAGCTTAAAAAAAAACCAGTCACGATTTGTGTTAGATTTACCAAGAAAGGTTGTGTTGTCATTTTCTTTTGGTCTTCCAATACACTGTGATCAATACTTTTTGTTGGTGCAAGATGTTTTCATTGGTAAAGTGCTATCATATCACTTCTCTTTTATCACTAATTTTATCTCGTACATCAAAGTATTTTATAACAAATTTTAATAAATGGGACCATCGCCATTCAGGGTAGTCACGTATCCTGTACCAGCCTCGCTAGAGCTGCTATTAAGGCAAAGTCTCTGCGTTATCACCCCTACTACATATTGTACATACCACCAACAATCAGATTTTTGAGGGAAGGTGTGATTGTAAATGATTTGTTTACAGGAGAATCCTATTGGGAAACTGTGGAATTTAAATGAGAAGAAAACTATGGTTATACTTTATATATATACAACGTAATAACATAGCTATGCAAGACCTACCACAGTCTCATTCCATCGAGGTATGCAAATTTAGCTAGATGCATTTCCGTGTTTGTATTATTTGTAAATATATTGTGACTTTATGAAACAACAGTGTACAGAATAAACTTTTGTATAAGATTTCAATTCTGTTTCATGTTTTCTCTTTAATAGTAATGAACATTTTACACAAAGTGTAAACCTTGGTAAGGAAAACAAGAGATCACAGAGGGATCTTGGCTCCCATCATCATGTGATCTTTATTTTTTTTTATGACTGGGATCTTTCCCTTCTGTTTTTGCTCGTTATTATATGAAAGGGCCTGTTTCCAGTAATGTTAATTCTCCATAGGAGCCTGCCCCCGTATAATTTCTTATCTAGCTCAACTACTGTTTTTTTCTTTTCCGAAAAATAATTTTACACCTTTCCGACACCCAGATTTCATAATTTCAGTGAAAATGTATCTTTATAATGTTGTCAATTTCAGCATCAAAGACATAAGTTCGTTAATAAAAGAAGGTTATCTCGAAATTGTAATTAGCAACATAGTATAAATTTCTTTTGATAAATATTTCCAAAACATCTTGTTTATTCATAAAACATAAAAAAAAAAATATTCTCGGATGAAAATGCACTTGCAGAGACACAATTATGAAGAAAAATGCCATAAATTTGCAATTTTCTCCTGTTATATAGTTTTGGATGCAAATTTCCATCAGAAAGTCGGATAGAGCTTTACTTGTTTCATATGTGTACCAAAAATCAGCTAATTCCATGTGGTGGAACGTTCTCATATCGCCGCCTGAATGTGGTTGTAAATTGAAAGAAAAGGGGAAATGAGTAACAACCTTGTCTGAAACCCTATTATATAGCTTATTATATACAAACTTTTATATTGAATATCAGAGCGGATATTTTCATGACAGTTTTATGATGTGTAACGACTAAATAAATAGTATTGATATAAAGATTTACACTGAGGACACCCTGATACATGAATACTCTTCTATCTCAAGCTGTCCTTTTCTGAATTTTCTGATCGTGTGGCCTTGTACATTTATCCGTATCTTCTTGTCTTTGTCTATACGTTTACGAAATCATTCACTCGACGCTAGCTATTCTTGTCTCAATTTCCTTGTTTTATTGTCCCATCTCCAAAGCGTTGTGGCTCTGTCAGGGTTGGGACCCTGACTTGTCTCACTTTCTTTGTGCCTGCCGACCACGCCACATCGAATAGATAGATTATCCATATGAAATACTTTATTTTGTTCTAAGTAATCAATCAATTCTGCGCTTCTTGGAGGTATTGAATGTGATTTATTATATTGTCTTGTTATTTTGTGTAATTAGTTGTTCGTTATTTACCACACATTTTCGCATAATTGTACCAAACTACTAAGTATTAGCTGTTTACAGCAATCATCGGTGGCTTGCTATTTTGTTACTTTGTCGACGCTTCATAAACCAATCGTTATTGTTTCAAGATGGAGGGTAAATATGTTGGAGAAGAGTGTCAAGTATACTTCAAGAAACGTAGTGGCAATAAGAACAGAAGTGCACGCAATGTAAATAGTCCACAATATAAATGGCTCCTAGATACGCTGGTGCAACAAGGATTGATGTCAGCAAAGGAACAAGCATTTATTTGCCAGAAGTGCTACATGAAGTATCTTCGGAACAAAAATCAGCCTGAACCTGAACCCGAGCAGAACCAGGAAATAGAGGAAGAAGACGACTCTCCGTCCCATATCCCGCCGTTGCTGACCCTTCATGATCTTTTGAATGGATCATCTTCACACAAAAAATGCTGTCTCTGTCTTGTTACCTTTCCAAAAAATGGAACAAAATCACCAGTCTTACCAAAACGTGCAAGACATCACCTGATCTATTCACACAAACTGTGGTGTCCCACCTCATCCCGCGTCTGCTCCATTCACCTTATTGGTAACGACTTAGATCCGTCTACAGAGGTTGTCCTTGATGGTAGAGGTTCCTTGGAATCTCAGTTACCATCGAAATCGTCCGAAATCATTAATGACCTCCTAGAGGTGTCGCACGTCCTTTCACATAACCAGTCTGCGTTTACAATAAACTTTTCTTCTCTTGATGACTCAGCATGCATGGCCTGGACAGGTTGGTCCAAAGATCAGTTCCTCGAAATCCACTCGCACTGTTCCCCATATCTTTCATCTGGTATATATACCAAGACTACACACGATGCTCTATTACTGTTCTGGGTAAAACTGAAAACCGACATTTCCTGGAGTCAGTGTTCTTCTCTTTTTGGAATATCCAAGTCAAGTGTGTCCAAAAGTTTCCACTCCATAGTACAGGCATTAGACACATCGATAGTCCCACAATTTCTAGGTCCCGATCACTTGACAAGAGAACAATTGCTCAGGCACAACACTGTCTTTTCAGAAGCATTTTTTGGAGATAAAGCCACTGCCATATTAGATGGCACCTATATTTATATCCAGAAAAGCTCCGACCACAGGCTCCAGAGAATGTCCTACTGTGGCCAGAAGAAGAGAAACTATGTCAAATTCATGAGCATCGCCTTACCAGATGGCTACATTCTGGACACCGTAGGACCATTCACTGGCAGCAAAAATGATGCTACAATTACAAAAAAAAGTCATGGACAAGCTAGTTACTTGACTACAACCAGACGACAACGTTGTCGTTGACCGAGGTTTTAGAGATGTCCTACCAGTTCTCGAAGCCTCTGGCCTCAATGCTAGCATGCCGTCATACCTGAAACCCGGTCAAAGTCAACATTCTGACGTCCAAGCAAATCTTGACAGAACTATCACCAAATCGAGGTGGATTGTGGAATCCTATCATGGTCGTCTGAAACACTGGACGTTCTTCCGAACGCAATTGGTGTCTAACAGCTATATCAATGTCATTGAGGCTTTGCTTCGAACCGTCACAGCCTGTCTGAATGGTATTAGAGGACCGATCTACCAGAGATCTCCAGAGAGAGATGCCAAAGATAGGTTAATGGCTGAACGTATGAAGGACCATTTGACAACACCGAATGGTTTATCTCCGATGTCAAATACATTCTCGACACAAAAGCCAAACGAAATATAACGTTTGGATACGGTTCACCGTTTCACCCGATGTTGAGGCCCCAATAAAGGACTACTACTGCCAGTGCCCAGTTGGAGAGAGAGCGATGGGAATGTGTGCGCACATCTCCAGTATCTTGTACTACCTTGGGTATTACAGGACGCTGGAAAACCCTCAACCATTACAACCACAGGTAAAGAAATTCCGACAAAACTTGAAATAGTTTTCCATGCGGCAACGGAGTGCATATGTCGAAAGTATGTTTGGGGCTCGATATGAAAGATCCCCGTTACCATGCGACAAACCAAACTTATAAATATAGGTATTATACAATCGCCCGTAGCTATGAACACTCCCGTAAATGCGAAAACCAACCAAAATCATAAGGAACACGTTTTGTTTGTTGTTCTGTCTATTTGTCAGCCAATGTCTTCAACCACGGGGACTTGTGAAGTAGCCATCATGGATTTGTTTATGAAAAAGTGTTTCTCTCACTTTTTTTTCATATCTGTGTACATGTTCTCAACATACCGAGCAAATTCTCTCGTTTTTTTGTTAATAATTCAACCATAGGCTAATTCAACCCAACATTTGAAAATGTTCCACCACTTACATTTTGATGATTTTTCCTCTCATCAATAGCATATTACGTACTATTTAATAGGATAAAAATTGGTTTGCATCCAACGCCCATAAAAGGGTGTATTCTCTAAAAAACACAGTTTTTGTGTCTAAAATGTTATCATCGAAAATGGCATTTTTGAGATTGTTTCTTCCATAAAACAGCCAAATGGCGCGATGGAAACATGACGTTTTGTCACAATCATGCCATGAATGTATTCTTTACGATGACTATCATTTGATTAGATTTTCATTAATATTTTACATAACATGCACATTTTATCAACACTTAGACAGCTTCTGAAAGGTACAACTTTGAGGAGCCATAAAAAACAAACCAAGTGGCCCAAATCTTTATACTTTATAGATTTGTGACCACAACGGCATGGGCAATGCACCACCAACAGGAAATTTGAATCAGAGAAGGGGCCATTTTGGAAACTGGCCCTTTAGAAATTCGTATGTGAATTTTTAACTGCAAAATCCAAGATGGTCACCTGTCAGCTGTTTTTGTTTTTCTAATCAGTTCAAAAATCAAAGTATTGGAAATACTGTTGGTCTAAAACTTTACAAAAGTCATGTATCTAATGACATTATATTGTGAGTTGCAAGTTCACAGAAAAAAGAAAAGAAAAAAATTTAATTTCACTACTTCAGCTTCCCATATGGTATTGGCAGTTAAACACACGTTTATGCCAACCATATAGACAATACCTATAACTAGCAATAAGAAATCAAATTGTGATCCGTTTCAGAAGCGAATGATCCATTGTGAATAGAATCACCTGTTTGTTGCTATGTAGATACAATATTTGCGGCAGACATTTACAAATTCCAATATGTAAAATTGATCTATAAATTCAAATTATATACAGGGTATTTTACCCTAAAATTAATCAGATGATTTCCATGGAAGTAAAAATCATACATATATGTTGATATATATGCCTTCAAAAGCTACATCAAACAAAATTGTGCCACTAAGTGGTCTTTAAATGTAGAATGTCGTATCTAAAAATATACTGATGGAACATTATATCAGAAATACGAAGACCCAAGGGCCTAACAATCACCTCAAATCTTGAAAAGCTTTGGTTTTTGATGCTGTAATATGCCAAGTGTAAAATATGCAGAACATTTTAACCCAGTTTGGTTTATTTCCAATGGAAATTAATAAATGATGCTCAAAAAAGAAAACGTCCCACCTGTACATAAACTATATCAAAATTTACCTCCCACTAAAAGGGGAATATAGATGGGAACCTGGTGTCATGATAATTGCATTTTTGAGCACAGCATGATTTCCCATTCGAAATAACATAGCATAGAATGACAGTTTTGATGGTATGCATGTATGGACACTGGCTTACTATCTATTGATTATCTCTGGTCACCATCAAGACAGCTAGGTTTGTTGTTGTGGCCTATCTTGGATATTAACGTTAAAAAAAGACTTCTCAAGAAGTCATTGTAGCAATAACAAACTTTGTCAAAATCAAAGATGGCATCTGCCTGCTGTTTAGTTTTTCCAAATAATCCCAAAATCAAACAGGCACAACTAAAGGGAACCTGCAAACACTAATCGTTCATTGACTGATGATGGTTGGCTAAAAAGCAGGTTTCTTCAGCTCTACACATCAGATGGTGGAGCAGAAAGTAACTCTATAGAACCTTTTAGCTGAGGTATCGCTGTAACCGACTTTTATCCTATTAAAATCACTAGTGAAATACATGAAGCCATGATTTAGGATGGGAGGAGATGGACATGGGTAGCACCATCTGAATCCCTCCTTATAGAGTGGTGGGTACATAAACAAAAACAAAACAAAAATGTTTTTGACACCTTTACTAAAAATGTAAATATCAGTATACTTTCACATACTATGAAATGTATACGGAAGTTTTGCAAATTTGTATAAAATGTAAATATACAATGGAAAACACTCATTACTTGGTAATGAACTCCTCCCCTAGACTTTACCCGTTAGATCTATCTGGTTGTGTATTTTGTTTTAAAGATCTCTGATTCACACGTTTTCACACGTCCATTTCATATAACACGAAGTTATTGAATCGCTCAAAACACCATCTTGAACAAAGCTTAATAAAACACTGCCTAAATAAGACAGTATCAGACAGCTGTGTCCATTTACATGTACCAGTTTCAAGACACAAATAAACAGACTTTCTAATATGTTTTCATGATTTACACTAGAAATGTATTCAGTTGATTTACAGAACTCAATTTGTTGGTATCCATTATTTTATGTTGGTTTGAAAGCATCCTATATACACAACTACTGAAAAATAAGTTTACTTCTCCCACACAAATCTACACAAGATTCATTTCCTGTCATACTACTGTCAGCTATTCCTTCCATCCACTAATCATAAAGATTCAGATTGTCCATGACACAATTTACAGGCTGCTGAAGGCAACAGAATAGCACAGTGATCCTTTTTTGACTTAACATTTGGACCCAGATTAAATTGGAGCTAAGGACTAACAAGAATCGGGATCAGTCTAGGAACTTGATGGAGAATGTACATTTGAAGTACTGCATTACTCAATATGAATCCTGATTCATCTTGATTAAACATTACAAACAATTAAGGAATTTGTATAATAGCCACAGATTTTAGGGAACTCTTCAAATCTTATAATCACACACCAGGATTGTTACATCCTCCCCAGTGATAACAGTTTTTATGTCCTACACCAGGATTGTTACATCCTCCCCAGTGATAACAGTTTTTATGTCCTACACCAGGATTGTTACATCCTCCCCAGTGATAACAGTTTTTATGTCCTACACCAGGATTGTTACATCCCCCCCAGTGATAACAGCGTTTATGTCCTACACCAGGATTGTTACATCCTCCCCAGTGATAACAGTTTTTATGTCCTACACCAGGATTGTTACATCCTCCCCAGTGATAACAGCATTTATGTCCTACACCAGGATTGTTACATCCTCCCCAGTGATAACAGCATTTATGTCCTACACCAGGATTGTTACATCCTCCCCAGTGATAACAGCGTTTATGTCCTACACCAGGATTGTTACATCCTCCCCAGTGATAACAGTTTTTATGTCCTACACCAGGATTGTTACATCCTCCCCCGTGATAACAGCGTTTATGTCCTACACCAGCATTGTTACATCCTCCCCAGTGATAACAGTTTTTATGTCCTACACCAGGATTGTTACATCCTCCCCAGTGATAACAGCGTTTATGTCCTACACCAGGATTGTTACATCCTCCCCAGTGATAACAGCGTTTATGTCCTACACCAGGATTGTTACATCCTCCCCAGTGATAACAGTTTTTATGTCCTACACCAGGATTGTTACATCCTCCCCAGTGATAACAGCGTTTATGTCCTACACCAGGATTGTTACATCCTCCCCAGTGATAACAGTTTTTATGTCCTACACCAGGATTGTTACATCCTCCCCAGTGATAACAGTTTTTATGTCCTACACCAGGATTGTTACATCCTCCCCAGTGATAACAGTTTTTATGTCCTACACCAGGATTGTTACATCCTCCCCAGTGATAACAGTTTTTATGTCCTACACTAGGATTGTTACATCCTCCCCAGTGATAACAGTTTTTATGTCCTACACCAGGATTGTTACATCCTCCCCAGTGATAACAGTTTTTATGTCCTACACCAGGATTGTTACATCCTCCCCAGTGATAACAGTTTTTATGTCCTACATCAGGATTGTTACATCCTCCCCAGTGATAACAGCGTTTATGTCCTACACCAGGATTGTCACATCCTCCCCAGTGATAACAGTTTTTATGTCCTACACCAGGATTGTTACATCCTCCCCAGTGATAACAGCGTTTATGTCCTACACCAGGATTGTCACATCCTCCCCAGTGATAACAGCGTTTATGTCCTACACTAGGATTGTTACATCCTCCCCAGTGATAACAGTGTTTATGTCCTACACCAGGATTGTTACATCCTCCCCAGTGATAACAGCGTTTATGTCCTACACCAGGATTGTCACATCCTCCCCAGTGATAACAGCGTTTATGTCCTACACCAGGATTGTTACATCCTCCCCACTGTTTATAGTTTGTATGTTAACAACTTTTCCCTCTACCTGTATTTGGTTCTGTGAATGTACCATTTATCTAGCCAATAATTTAACTGATAATAAAAACCATCTGGTTTTGAAGCCAGTAATTAATTGCTTCCAATAATTTGGAGATTGTTTCCACAGATCATAGGCAGTCAAAACCAGACCACTTTTCCGTGTTGTTTCCAGGTGGTGATTTGGGATGATATGTGGCTATGTTGATACTTTAAGGCTAGGCTGATGCTGCTTTTACTGGTGAAGTCTGCATACATTCCCCCTTACTTTTACAGCAGGGTTTTGGCCTAGACCCTGGCCTAATTTCTTTACTGAGTATTTGGTATTTGTATTCTCTCTCTTCCCATAGTGGGTCTTCTGGTGATGTATCATCTATTGTGTACCTAAAAGCAAAGGCAAACTGGTTGTATTACAGCTATACATAAGAAACTTAGAACTATCCATTTCCCTACAAAGTCCTAACCTCTTCACCCACAGGGACACCCCCTCCATTTTTAGCAGGTGGACCCATCTTTCATTCATCAAAAATTCAAATAAAAAAACCCCATCAGCTAGGGTTGATCTAGGATAATGATTTCCTTCAGCCAGGGATGATCTCAGATAATGATTTCCCCCAGCCAGGGATGATCTAGAATAATAATTTCCCTCAGCCAGGGATGATCTAGGATAATGATTTCCCTCAGCCAGGGATGATCTAGAATAATGATTTCCCTCAGCCAGGGATGATCACAGATAATGATTTCCCTCAGCCAGGGATGATCTAGGATAATGATTTCCCTCAACCAGGGTTGATCTCAGATAATGATTTCCCTCAGCCAGGGTTGATCTCAGATAATGATTTCCCTCAGCCAGGGTTGATCTCAGATAATGATTTCCCTCAGCCAGGGATTATCGAGGTTAATGATTTACCTCAGCCAGGGATGATCTAAGATAATGATTTCCCCTTAGCCAGGGCTGATCTCAGATAATGATTTCCCTCAGCCAGGGATGATCTAAGATAATGATTTCCCCTTAGCCAGGGATGATCTCAGATAATGATTTCCCTCAGCCAGGGATTATCGAGGTTAATGATTTACCTCAGCCAGGGATGATCTAAGATAATGATTTCCCCTTAGCCAGGGCTGATCTCAGATAATGATTTCCCTCAGCCAGGGATGATCTAGGATAATGATTTCCCTCAGCCAGGGATGATCTCAGATAATGATTTCCCTCAGCCAGGGATGATCTAGGATAATGATTTCCCTCAGCCAGGGTTGATCTCAGATAATGATTTCCCTCAGCCAGGGATGATCTAAGATAATGATTTCCCCTTAGCCAGGGTTGATCTCAGATAATGATTTCCCTCAGCCAGGGATTATCGAGGTTAATGATTTACCTCAGCCAGGGATGATCTAAGATAATGATTTCCCCCAGCCAGGGATGATCTAGAATAATGATTTCCCTCAGCCAGGGATGATCTAGAATAATGATTTCCCTCAGCCAGGGATGATCTCAGATAATGATTTACCTCAGCCAGGGATGATCTAGAATAATGATTTCCCTCAGCCAGGGCTGATCTCAGATAATGATTTCCCTCAGCCAGGGTTGATCTCAGATAATGATTTCCCTCAGCCAGGGTTGATCTCAGATAATGATTTCCCTCAGCCAGGGATGATCTCAGATAATGATTTCCCCTTAGCCAGGGATGATCTCAGATAATGATTTCCCTCAGCCAGGGATGATCTCAGATAATGATTTCCCTCAGCCAGGGTTGATCTCAGATAATGATTTCCCTCAGCCAGGGATTATCGAGGTTAATGATTTACCTCAGCCAGGGATGATCTAAGATAATGATTTCCCCTTAGCCAGGGATGATCTCAGATAATGATTTCCCTCAGCCAGGGATTATCGAGGTTAATGATTTACCTCAGCCAGGGATGATCTAAGATAATGATTTCCCCTTAGCCAGGGATGATCTCAGATAATGATTTCCCTCAGCCAGGGATTATCGAGGTTAATGATTTACCTCAGCCAGGGATGATCTAAGATAATGATTTCCCCTTAGCCAGGGATGATCTCAGATAATGATTTACCTCAGCCAGGGATGATCTCAGATAATGATTTCCCTCAGCCAGGGTTGATCTCAGATAATGATTTCCCTCAGCCAGGGATTATCGAGGTTAATGATTTACCTCAGCCAGGGATGATCTAAGATAATGATTTCCCCTTAGCCAGGGAAGATTTCAGATAAATAAAAAAAACCTTATATGTGCCGAAAGTCTTCAAGTAAAGAAAGATGAATAATATGCTTAGCTCTTTGGGTTAGATTAACATTAATACTGAGTAGGATTACTTTTAAATCTCATGTGAACAGGACTTACTTCATAGCTTTCATAAAGAACGTTTCTCCCATCTTATTGCTCTTAAAGGTGGTTAGCATAACTTTTATCATCTCAGTCCTGGAAAAAGACAACAAGGAAAGAACAGGTGTGGTCAAAGTCATCATTCAATGCTTAGAAATTCATTCCAAATTGATGGAAACTGGTAAGTTCTGCTTTTTCAAGCATATGGTTTTACAAGCAATTTAATTTGAGGAATTCATTTAAAAACATTCATATTTTAATTGGAAATCAACTAGGGAACATAAGCAATGGTACAAATACCTAGCTGTTGCAAAACCTACCAGTCCTCTTAATAGTCAAAAGCAATTTATTATTTCAAATGACTTAGGAAAGGCACACACAGCAACAAAGCAGCAACTCCTTAATGTTACAGGATACATATTGACTCTTAGAGAAATGCAGATATTATTCACAGGAAAGTGTTGTATTTTATTGAGGATGAAAAAGGTGTAAAAACCCAAAAGCATGGCCTTTTACAGATAAAGCCCTATAGCCCAGCCCTCCACAATCAAGTGGTGTAAATACCTATAGAATTCCCCTTGAGCTTCAAAAGAGATGAAGAGTTTACTTTTAACTTTTTGACTCAGACCACCAAATTTAGAAGTATAAAAGTTTATATCAAGAGATTTGGTCTGTCCTTTAACCATTGATCATCAAAATTCAACCAGGTGTGGAACCCTATGTAATCATACAATGCAGTGAATATGTAGTCTGTCAAGGGGTTAGGGATATATCTTATTTACAAGACATTTATTTCAGCAAAAAGGTCAAGCGTGACATTTGTCCCATAAACAGCGATTTATTTGATACAGTACATTACTTGTTACTAATTAAAGGTAAAACATAACACCATTAAAACTAATTCAATCAAATATTACACTTACAACTTGTACTTACTTATATGCCAATAATTCCAATATCTGCATCAAAAACTTTCCAACACCTTTCCTTCTGTATTCATCAATTACTTGGAGTTCATAGCTGCAACAGAATTATGTAGAAAATTGGTCCTAGCCAGGAACATTAAGACATATTGTTTACTTCAGAAATAGTCACTACAACTCATATTGAGTTATCTCCCTTGGATCTGAAGCATTAAATATCGGAATTTTAAATATACATTACAAGAGATCTGAAGAGGGAATCTTGATGCCCACCGTTGTTTTGTCTTTGTTAATTTTTTAAATGTATAATCTTTTCCCTTCTTTTCTATTCTTTCCTTAGTTCTTGTTTTCAACCAATTAAATTTTTTAAATCCTTGTAAGAAAATAGTGACAATAATCTCCAATCGCAAAGATGATCACCTGTCAGTTATTTTGATGATCTGATTAATTCCAAAATCAGTGTATCTCAGAAAATAGTGGTAACAAACTGTCATTATCAAAATACCAGTTGGCCACTTGCCAATCATTTTTATTTTTCTGATCAGTTCCAAAACCAACGGGTGCATCTAGGGACCAGGGGGAACTTTTAAATGAAATTTAAGGGAAAAAAACATCCAGTAATCCTGATAAATTGAGATAACAAGTCCACTGTCATAGTCAGTCATTTTGTATTTTTCTGCTCAAGCTCAAAATCAGACAATGCACAGCTAGGGACCATGAAAAGAACTACATTATGGAAACTGAAGGAGATAGACCCTATAATAGTTATAGATCCAATAACAAGTTACTCCAGTCACAATCCAAAATGCAAATTATTGGACATTTTCTTTTTCAGATTCGTCCTAAAATGGGCCCATGCACAACTACGGACCATGGGAAAACTAAATGATAATTGAAAATGATTCATCTAGTACTTTTTAAGAAAAAGCGATAATAATAATTGTTTAAGGACAGACTGACTGACTCCAAAACCACTTGACCATGGATGAAGGGCAATTGGAACAGCCATCTGATAAAATATTGAGTGCGATCAGCAAGTGTCCAGCTCATCGCAGTCATTGCAAAATGCTACTGGGAGAAGCGGGATTTATAATTTTAAATTGAAGAAGCCTTTCACACTATAAGTTCTGATAATTGTATAATTAGTAAAATTACTCTTAAAGAGATATTCTCCACAAGTTTGAAAATTTCTGTCTGTTTTTTTTTTTTCAATTTCTCCTATTAAGAACTCATTCTTATAACTTTTAAAGCTATTTTCAGCAACAAAATATCTATCCTAAGGTCGGTACCACCTACAAATATAAAGTTAGATTGTCTAAATATAGATTAGTGGGGAATCGGGAACTTGGTCGGTAACTAGATAATAGATTTCACACAAAATATTGGGTAAATACCCAGGTCTGTATGCTATTCATTTATAAGGTCAGCTAGGGTTAGAATGCTGTTTGCTTTGTTTGGCTCATTTCTTATTTTAAAACATAAACAAATATTTTACACTGTTTGGGTAATAGAAAGCAAACCTGTTGTTACTCAATCATGGCACAGCTAACTTTTGTAAATCAATCTAGCTAGATCTACATGGAATTCCCACAGATTAGATATTGCATGTTTGTTTACATTGTGAATTATATAAGTAAGGCATACAATATCTATGAGAACATACATATATATTGTTTTGATTTTTTTTCTCCATAAAAAATATATGGAATCGGAACTTGTGCTGAATGTCACATCAATCAGTGAGCTAAAAATCTGTAGAGTGAGCTCAGGAATAAAACATCTGAATTTAATCTGTCTATGGCAAACAGGTTTTGAGGTCAAGTCATTGGAAAGTCATTCCTTACCCATGCCATCCAAACTATCAGTTAAAGTGCCTAAAAAGTAACAAATATACCAGTAAACTAATTCCTCATCCCATTCCATATCAAATCTAAAGTGTGTAAATGCTACTGGTTTGGAGTCTTTGTCCATGGCGATGAGATAAAGTGCTTTTTCCTCTGTCATCTCTTCCAGCTTGTCCTTATCTTTCCAGCCCCAGTCGCTTTCCTCATATCTGTGGGGAAATATAGACCTCTTGTATCATTTGACCATAAATGACATCCTTTTGAGAATATTTTCACTATTTGACTTTCAGATTTCTTATCTATACAAGGCCATTTTTCTAAAGAGTAAACAATCATACAATTTATTGAAAAGTTTTGAAAGAAAGCAACGAGTAAAGATTTTTAAAAGGTGATGTTACCCTTCCTACAAATAGAAATAATACTGAATACTTAGATAAAACCATCAGAAATAAATGGAAAGACAGTGAATATCACAAATGTCCATGGCAGTTTCATGACACAAGAATGACAATAGAAAGCTAACATTCTAGGAATAAGTGATTTAGAATCAACCCATAAGTTAAACCATATATGTAACTTCATTGCCCTTTTATTTTTATACACACAATCTTATTACTGCATATCCCAGTTAATAGGGATTTCTATTTTTACACACAATGATAATACATTTAACACTAAATCATTAAATCTACATCCTTCTTTGTGATATACTTTCTAAAACTTACAACTTTTGCATGTTTTTCTTCGTAAGATCAAATACCCAGTCTGTCATTTCTTGGGTCAGGTCCTCCGCTCGAAAAAATTCTATCTTCAGACTAATCCTATGAGAAGAAAAACACAAGCATTTATGTCAGCAACAGCTGTGTCTACACAGTGATCAGACCAAAACTTAAAATCAAACCAGACAGAAAGACTGACAGGGCAGATGCTACACGACAAGTATAAATGATATATTAAACCATTTCATTTAAAAAAGCATTAAGCGGAAAAAATGAAAACAACATTACCCATTTCTTTCATATTTTCTAAATGGTGCAACCAAATCCATTGGATCTTTAATCTGAAAAACAAAAACATATCTCAAATCAAAGATATTATTCTTTGTTCTTTAAAAGTTGGATTATTTCCCCTTTTTTGCTACGTTCTTTCCTCTGCTCTTGCTCTTAATCATATGAAATTTGAAAATTTCTTCAGAATTGGTATAATAATCTTTAATTGTCAAATCAGAGATGGTTTCCTCTCATCCACATTGTTTTTCTGACCAGTCCAAAAATCAAAAGGGCATCACTAGTGACAAAAGGGAAACTACATGTAAATTCTGTGACAGGTCCATACAGTACTCAACAAGAGATAGCAGTTACAAATTCTCACTTTCAAAATTCAAGATTGCTGCCTGTCAACCCTTTTGTTTTCTCATCAGTGCCAAAATCAGATGGACAAAACTAGTGACCAAGGGGAACCTTCACATAAAATTCAAGAAAATCTATCCTGTACTTCTTGAAAGATAGTCATAGCAAGAATAACAAGAAGTTATTTCAAGGTCATTTATGGAATTTGAAAATTTCTTTTCAGAAATAATGATAACTTTAACTGTCAAATCCAAGATGGCTGCCTTTTGACCATTTTACTTTTCTTACCAGTTTGGGCAGTTCTTCTGGAGAAATGGCAATGATGAACTTTCATTGTTAAAATGTACTCCAGGAAATAACTAGAGTTTCCAAAGGTTACAGCGATGTCTGTGGGACAATGCTAAGTATTATTCAAGAGTCCCTACATGGGCACCAACGTAACAGAAGTCACTTTTTATTTCAACGTCTCCGCTCGGATTCAAACCTGGGACCTCTGGCATTCTATTCTGATGCTCAACTGATCCTGCTAAAGAGAAGTTATCGCTACCCGAGTGGTATATTGCAGGGTTACATACTCATGCAATAACACTAATAATATTGAGTGAAAAATACCTTGTTTGCTGCCTCCACTTTGGCAAAGGACACAGCATATTTAGCACTTTCCTGGAAATAAAAGAAAAATATTGACACTCTAACAGTTATCCTTGGCAAATATTACACATGCATCCAGACCAGTACAGAGTAAAAAGTCATTATCATCATGTTATTATTTGTTACATATCTTGTACAGAAGGTTTTTATTTACAAAGTGTTCAAAGATGACCCTTGACCTTTAAACTTTTGATCAATGACACCAAAATCTAATAAGGTGTAGTAAACCTTGATGGTATAATGCTATAGTGTGAGAATATGAATCAAATCTGTTTTGGGTTAATGAGATACTTTGTGCAAAAGGCTATTTTCAAGTCGATAACTAACATCATAGTTTGTTCAACAGCTGACTGTTTATTTTTTCAACTACACAAAAAAGCTACTTGAAATGAAGAGTTATTGCCATATGGCTGTAAGTCTTCATTCATTTATGAAAGTGTCTTTGGGACCTCAATCATGGACAGTGCTTTATTCAAGAACAGCACCATCACCTAATAAGAAAGGAAACAGAATTTTAAGTTGTTCCATCAATGAGAGTTTATATCTTAGATAGATGTTATATCATTACCATTTCCAATATGATCCAATTAAATGTATCAACTATAGTAGGGGAGGTGGTGATTTCTTTAACTACAGGTGCATGTTTTAGACCCAGTCTTGAAATTGCCAATTAAATGTGTAAACTTTAGGGGAGGTGGTGATTTCTTTAACTACAGGTGCATGTTTTAGACCTAGTCTTGAAACTGCCAATTAAATGTGTAAACTTTAGTAGGGGAGGTGGTGATTTCTTTAACTACAGGTGCATGTTTTAGACCTAGTCTTGAAATTGCCAATTAGGGGAGGTGGTGATTTCTTTAACTACAGGTGCATGTTTTAGACCCAGCCTTGAAATTGCCAATTAAATGTGTAAACTTTAGTAGGGGAGGTGGTGATTTCTTTAACTACAGGTGCATGTTTTAGACCTAGTCTTGAAATTGCCAATTAAATGTGTAAACTTTAGTGAAATTGCCAATTAAATGTGTAAACTTTAGTAGGGGAGGTGGTGATTTCTTTAACTACAGGTGCATGTTTTAGACCTAGTCTTGAAATTGCCAATTAAATGTGTAAACTTTAGTAGGGGAGGTGGTGATTTCTTTAACTACAGGTGCATGTTTTAGACCTAGGTGCTTGAAATTGCCAATTAAATGTGTAAACTTTAGTAGGGGAGGTGGTGATTTCTTTAACTACAGGTGCATGTTTTAGACCCAGTCTTGAAATTGCCAATTAAATGTGTAAACTTTAGTAGGGGAGGTGGTGATTTCTTTAACTACAGGTGCATGTTTTAGACCCAGTCATCACATTTCAAAAAAAATGTGAAAACTTTAGTAGGGGAGGTGGTGATTTCTTTAACTACAGGTTGAAATTGCCAATTAAATGTGTAAACTTTAGTAGGGGAGGTGGTGATTTCTTTAACTACAGGTGCATGTTTTAGACCTAGTCTTGAAATTGCCAATTAAATGTGTAAACTTTAGTAGGGGAGGTGGTGATTTCTTTAACTACAGGTGCATGTTTTAGACCCAGCCTTGAAATTGCCAATTAAATGTGTAAACTTTAGTAGGGGAGGTGGTGATTTCTTTAACTACAGGTGCATGTTTTAGAAATTGCCAATTAAATGTGTAAACTTTAGTAGGGGAGGTGGTGATTTCTTTAACTACAGGTGCATGTTTTAGACCTAGTCTTGAAATTGCCAATTAAATGTGTAAACTTTAGTAGGGGAGGTGGTGATTTCTTTAACTACAGGTGCATGTTTTAGACCTAGTCTTGAAATTGCCAATTAAATGTGTAAACTTTAGTAGGGGAGGTGGTGATTTCTTTAACTACAGGTGCATGTTTTAGACCTAGTCTTGAAATTGCCAATTGTTTTAAATGTTGTAAATGTGTAAACTTTAGTAGGGGAGGTGGTGATTTCTTTAACTACAGGTGCTACAGGTGCATGTTTTAGACCTACAGGTGCATGTTTTAGACTAGTCTTGAAATTGCCAATTAAATGTGTAAACTTTAGTAGGGGAGGTGGTGATTTCTTTAACTACAGGTGCATGTTTTAGACCTAGTCTTGAAATTACCAATTAAATGTGTAAACTTTAGTAGGGGAGGTGGTGATTTCTTTAACTACAGGTGCATGTTTTAGACCTAGTCTTGAAATTGCCAATTAAATGTGTAAACTTTAGTAGGGGAGGTGGTGATTTCTTTAACTACAGGTGCATGTTTTAGACCTAGTCTTGAAATTACCAATTAAATGTGTAAACTTTAGTAGGGGAGGTGGTGATTTCTTTAACTACAGGTGCATGTTTTAGACCCAGCCTTGAAATTACCAAATTCAATAAGCACCATGGCAGCAGGTAGCAGCATTGTAAAATCACTCCCAATAAAAAGGCTAAATCAGGGCTGCATTTGGGTTACGTGAAATTTAAAGACAATGTATCTTAAAATTGATCACAAATAAACTACTTTTTGTGAAAGTGTAGGCATCGTCATTTGGTAAATAGCTATATTATCCTACTTTTACTAGGCCTATATATATTTTTCGACACGACTCTACTGATGATATTTAAAGTGTGCCGAACTTACTGTCAAAACCAAAATAATTATATCATTGTTGAATTAATTAATCACATTTTAAAGCAAAAACAAGTTTAGAATAAAGAGTAAATTATACTAAATTCATTCCAAGACTTGTAAGAAAATAGTATTGTACAGTCTTGTGTCCAGCTTCACGCACATTTTGAAAACAGCTGTCAATCATGATGTTGTAATGACAAATATAAAAAAACATTTCCAAAAATGTGTATATGAAAACTGTGGTTGTTAGCAAAATGTGTAGATACACGTAAAACAAGTGTCAATGGCATTTACTAATTAGATTAATAGAACAAAGAGACCCAATGGGCCTATATCACTCATCTTGTATTCAAAGCTCTTCACTATACATTTACATCTCCATACCTTTAAATTGTACATGTGCATGATGCAAGATATTGGTTGTCAACGAATCGACCATCTCTATGACAAATGATTATCTAAATGTGATACAGAATTAGCTTGAACATGATATCATTCTTTCAAAAATATTTGGTGATTTTGGCATTAAATGCTACCTATGTGGTATTTCGGGCAGTCAAAATTAATAGTTACACTCCTACAGAAGACACTAGTTTACTCTATAAGTGGTTTTGGAGAGGGGAAAGTTCATTGTTCAATGTCACTCCAGTTATCATCAGACATCTTTGTCAAGATGATTTTTCATAAAACTTTTTGTTTTTGAACACTCTTAAGTTATATAAATAGCTACACCTTGTACAAATGTATGGTTTTTTTAAACTATTTCTGTTAGCGGTGGCAAAGGGAGTTTTTTGTGCCAAATTTTTTGTATAGATCAGTCACATTTACTAGTAATTTCATGTCTTTATGGAAGAGTGTAACTTCTCTTCATATGAAGATGAAAATCACAATAGCGATAGAGTTCAACCTAAGTATTCCAATTAGTATAATGTAACTGTTTGTAATTGTGGAGTTGATATTGAATATTGTCAGAGAATTGTGAATTTGCTTATAATTAACTGAAATATGCAATTCTAATTATTCATTATTCATGTCATATGTGCTTAGTGACTAAGTCACTTGTACAATGTTATTATTTTTAATATAGCTTTAGTTGACAACTGTATCATGGACTTGGGTATAACTTTATATAAGTCTGTGGTTGTATATTGTCGATGTATATCCCCATCTGGATAACTTTAAACTTCTTTTTATGTACGTCTTGTTGTGTAGGCTGTAATAATGCAAAAAACGTCTAGTACATTGAATAAATTGATGTCATAAACCAAAGTTTTCTATACCTCTTTCCTCCTTTGTTTCTTTGCTTTTCCTTTGGCTGATTTTCTCTGCAACAAAAAAATCCAGATACTAGATTTTTCAATAAACACGGCAAGACAAGTTTCTCAAGTGATACGCACGCGATAACTTCGTCCACTTGGTGACTCTTCCACGATACATTTATTCATATAACTTTCGAAACAAAAATTTAGCTATGAAATCATTTGTGCGTCTGCGTCGTGAAGTTAACGATTATTTGTAAAAAAAATACGTTACCCCCATTATTGATGTTGATTTCTGTTGTTTCCCGCGATTCCTCGTGTGCGGCAATAAATCTACTTCCGGTGAGGAGATAACTCTATTACTGATACTGTAAGATTTTATGGTAACACACCACTATGAAGTCAGATCAGACCGGAAATCAAACTGATTTTATTTTGTTTTCGTTGCTTTACAGTTTATAATTGTGTAAATCAGCGATCTAATCCATGTTTAAGTCTCTGATAAAATTAAATGAAAATGCAGTCATTTCACATTACTCTTTAAATCTTATCATCACACATCATTCTTTGATTCTTTGTGTGAGGGATGTTTATTTCTCAGTCTGAAAAAGGCCTTCGACTTAGAAGACCATGAAATATTATTACATTGATTAAGTATACTTAACATTTCCCCTAACAGTTTATATTGGCTAAAACATTTTATTTAAGATAGATAACAGTTTGTTAAATGTGGTGATGCTTCATCTGAATCACAATACATAAAATCAATGTACCAGAAGGTTCAATATTAGGCCCTCTACTGCTTACTATCTAGAAGTTTTGGTATTTATACAGACGATATAACTTGTAAATGGATCTAACTTTTCGGATCTTAATTGTAAACTACAAAATGATCGTGAGAATGTAACGAGATTGTGTTCAAAGAATAACATGCTTATAAATCAACAACGAAAACAGTATGTTAATTTCCTCACTCCAGAAGTCTACAATGGAGACTCCTTAACATTGCTGTCGATGGGTTCGGTTATACATCAACACAACCTAAAACGGTTCTTGGTATTAATATAGATGAACACTTTACCTGGACAGAACAGGTAAAGGAAGATTCAAGAAAACTGTCTTCTGAGTTGTTACTTTACTGCGATAATGCAGTTATCGTATGGGGTAATGGCCTAGCCAACGAACAAATTAAACGTGAACAAAGTTGAAAAAACAAGCCATTCGAGGTATATTAATCAAATGTGTATCAACACCAACTAGGGAACTTTTTAAGGAAAGTGATATTCTACCCGAAGAACTTAGAGTTATATATCATACTTGTGTATTTATTTATAGAGCTATCAATAATATGGCTCCAGAGTACTTTAATAACAGTAACAGTGTATGTGATGATGTGTACCGTTATAATTTGAGATCTACATCAAATAATAACCTTGTTCTGCAGAAAACATTAACAAATATCTAAAAAATAAAGTCCTGAAATGCTCCAACAGTCTTTAGTTGTTTAAGAATGAACTTAAATAATATCTTTTGCTTCAAATATGAAATTCTCTGTGTAGTCAATATTCATAATAAATTCATTGGGATGTTGTGTGTTGATATTTTCCTAATAGTTCATGTAACGAATATACATGTACTTAATATATGTATATTTATTTAAATAAAAATTATATGATTAAATTTTATGCAATCTTAATTTTTACAACTAAATTAGGCTCTAGGTTAGTTATGTTTCAATATTTTAATTAATTCATTAGTATATATATTTGTTTGGAGTTCCTTTACAGGAAACCTGGTTTCTCCAGTAATACCAATGTTGTGTCGCTTCCTCACGAGTTCTTACTGTCATACCACGTCAACGTTTTTTTTTTTTTTTTGGCGGTCAAAGGTTACTATGGCGATTGGCCTGCTGTAACCCCTGGCCTCGTTGAGCATCTTGACCGTGATGAGGACTGCATTGTCTAATGATATCTTAGGTGTAAATCCTCTTGGAAGTCCGCTGTAAGACTTCTATATGTAATGATCAATCCGTGGTTAGAGTCTCCATCCTCAGCCCCAGGTGAAAATCGCCCTAAATAAGCGATAGTGCGGGTTCACCATGAGACTAAGATGGGTGCTACTTTGGGATACTAAAACAACATTTCAGTATTGCAAAAGTGATAGTCACCTAAACAAATCTTACATTTATCTGTGCAGCGATTAAATTATGTACTGTGTGTGCACGGTAAATTTGATTGAATTTTGTAAGACTTTAAGTATAGAGTGTTTTTTCCACACGAATGTTTGGAAAGATATGTTGTTGATAACTATTTGAAGCAAAGTTAATCAGTCAGCAAGCCAACACGTGGAAACAGTGTTTCTTTAACATTTCTTTTATATGTGTTAATTCTTTTTATTAACCATTGTATGACAAGTTTACTTTTATATACTTTTTCGAATATCTTGCAAGTAGGACAGCAAGAAATTATAACTGGTACGGATGTTTCCTCAGTTCCCGTTGTAGGTTTGCTTTTGAAGTCGCCATTTTATCCTGTTGTAGTATATAGTGTTGTTTTCTCCTCCATTCCTGTTGTTGACTTCTGATCTGGTGTCTCCTTAGTTCTTGTTATTGACTTTTGATCTAGTGTCTCCTTAATTCGTGTTGTTGACTTCTGATCTGGTGTCTCCTTCGTTCTTGTTGTTGACTTCTGATCTGGTGTCTCCTTAGTTCTTGTTGTAGACTTTTGATCTAGTGTCTCCTTAGTTCTTGTTATTGACTTTTGATCTGGTGTCTCCTTAGTTCTTGTTGTTGACTTCTGATCTGGTGGTCGTCTTAGATCTTGTTGTTGACTTTTTATCTGGTGTCTCCTTAGTTCTTGTTGTTGACTTTTGATCTAGTGTCTCCTTAGTTCTTGTTGTTGACTTCTGGTCTGGTGTCTCCTTAGTTCTTGTTGTTGACTTTTGATCTAGTGTCTCCTTAATTCGTGTTGTTGACTTCTGATCTGGTGTCTCCTTAGTTCTTGTTGTTGACTTCTGATCTGGTGTCTCCTTAGTTCTTGTTGTTGACTTTTGATCTAGTGTCTCCTTAGTTCTTGTTGTTGACTTCTGATCTGGTGTCTCCTTAGTTCTTGTTGTAGACTTTTGATCTAGTGTCTCCTTAGTTCTTGTTGTTGACTTCTGATCTAGTGTCTCCTTAGTTCTTGTTGTTGACATTTGATCTGGTGGTCGCCTTAGTTCTTGTTGTTGACCTCTGATCTGGTGTCTCCTTAGTTCTTGTTGTTGACCTCTGATCTGGTGTCGCCTTAGTTCTTGTTGTAGACTTTTGATCTGGTGTCTCCTTAGTTCTTGTTGTTGACTTTTGATCTGGTGTCTCCTTCGTTCTTGTTGTTGACTTCTGATCTTGTCTCTCCTTAGTTCTTGTTGTAGACTTTTGATCTGGTGTCTCCTTAGTTCTTGTTGTTGACTTTTGATCTGGTGTCTCCTTCGTTCTTGTTGTTGACTCCTGATCTGGTGTCGCCTTAGTTCTTGTTGTTGACTTTTGATCTGGTGTCTCCTTAGTTCTTGTTATTGACTTTTGATCTGGTGTCTCCTTCGTTCTTGTTGTTGACTTCTGATCTAGTGTCTCCTTAGTTCTTGTTGTTGACTTCTGATCTAGTGTCTCCTTAGTTCTTGTTGATGACTTTTGATCTGGTGGTCGCCTTAGTTCTTGTTGTTGACCTTTGATCTGGTGGTCGCCTTAGTTCTTGTTGTTGACTTTTGATCTGGTGTCTCCTTAGTTCTTGTTGTTGACTTTTGATCTGGTGGTCGCCTTAGTTCTTGTTGTTGACCTTTGATCTGGTGGTCGCCTTAGTTCTTGTTGTTGACCTTTGATCTGGTGGTCGCCTTAGTTCTTGTTGTTGACTTTTGATCTGGTGGTCGCCTTAGTTCTTGTTGTTGACTTTTGATCTGGTGGTCGCCTTAGTTCTTGTTGTTGACTTTTGATCTGGTGGTCGCCTTAGTTCTTGTTGTTGACTTCTGATCTGGTGTCTCCTTAGTTCTTGTTATTGACTTTTGATCTGGTGTCTCCTTAGTTCTTGTTGTTGACTTCTGATCTAGTGTCTCCTTAGTTCTTGTTGTTGACTTCTGATCTAGTGTCTCCTTAGTTCTTGTTGATGACTTTTGATCTGGTGGTCGCCTTAGTTCTTGTTGTTGACCTTTGATCTGGTGGTCGCCTTAGTTCTTGTTGTTGACTTTTGATCTGGTGTCTCCTTAGTTCTTGTTGTTGACTTTTGATCTGGTGGTCGCCTTAGTTCTTGTTGTTGACCTTTGATCTGGTGGTCGCCTTAGTTCTTGTTGTTGATCTTTGATCTGGTGGTCGCCTTAGTTCTTGTTGTAGACTTTTGATCTGGTGTCTCCTTAGTTCTTGTTGTTGACTTTTGATCTGGTGGTCGTTGTTGACTTCTGTCGGTGGTTGCCTTAGTTCTTGTTGTTGACTTCTGATCTGGTGTCTCCTTAGTTCTTGTTATTGACTTTTGATCTGGTGTCTCCTTAGTTCTTGTTGTTGACTTCTGATCTAGTGTCTCCTTAGTTCTTGTTGTTGACTTCTGATCTAGTGTCTCCTTAGTTCTTGTTGATGACTTTTGATCTGGTGGTCGCCTTAGTTCTTGTTGTTGACCTTTGATCTGGTGGTCGCCTTAGTTCTTGTTGTTGACTTTTGATCTGGTGTCTCCTTAGTTCTTGTTGTTGACTTTTGATCTGGTGGTCGCCTTAGTTCTTGTTGTTGACCTTTGATCTGGTGGTCGCCTTAGTTCTTGTTGTTGACCTTTGATCTGGTGGTCGCCTTAGTTCTTGTTGTTGACCTTTGATCTGGTGGTCGCCTTAGTTCTTGTTGTTGACCTTTGATCTGGTGGTCGCCTTAGTTCTTGTTGTTGACCTTTGATCTGGTGGTCGCCTTAGTTCTTGTTGTTGACTTTTGATCTGATGGTCGCCTTAGTTCTTGTTGTTGACCTTTGATCTGATGGTCGCCTTAGTTCTTGTTGTTGACTTTTGATCTGATGGTCGCCTTAGTTCTTGTTGTTGACCTTTGATCTGATGGTCGCCTTAGTTCTTGTTGTTGACTTTTGATCTGATGGTCGCCTTAGTTCTTGTTGTTGACCTTTGATCTGGTGGTCGCCTTAGTTCTTGTTGTTGACCTTTGATCTGGTGGTCGCCTTAGTTCTTGTTGTTGACCTTTGATCTGGTGGTCGCCTTAGTTCTTGTTGTTGACCTTTGATCTGGTGGTCGCCTTAGTTCTTGTTGTTGACCTTTGATCTGGTGGTCGCCTTAGTTCTTGTTGTTGACCTTTGATCTGGTGGTCGCCTTAGTTCTTG